AAAAAAAAAAACACATACATAGACCAATAATACAGAACAGAAGACACAGAGACAAACACAGATACAATCATCTGATCCTTGACAAAGATGAAAAAAAGATAATCCTTTTGACAAATACTGATGGGAAAACTGGTTATCTATATGTAGAAGAATGAGACTAGATCCTATCTCTCACCCTGCACAAAAGTCAACTCACAATGGATCAAAGACCTAGGAATAAGACCAGAAACTATGCAACTCCTAGAAGAAAACAGGGTCAACACTCCAACATACAAGTGCAGGCAAGGGCTTTCTCAATAGGACTCCTAGAGCTAAGGAATAATCAAGAATTAATAAATGGAATGCTATCAAGTTAAAAAGCTTCTGCACARCAAAAGAATCAATAAAGAATGTGAAGAGAAAACCTTCAGAATGGGAGAAAATATTTGCTAGCTATTCTTCTGACAGAGAATTAATATCCAGGATACATAAAGAACTAAAAAAATTAACACTGAAGAAAAAATAACCCAATTAATAAATGGGCAAATGAACTAAATGGACACTTCTCAAAATAAAAAATACAAATGGCCAACAAATATAGGAAAAAATGTTTACTCTTAGAAATTAGGAAAATGCAAATAAAAACTACACTGACTTCATCTCACTCCAGTCAGAATGGCAACTATGAAGAATGCAAACAATAACAAATACTAAAGAGGATTCGGAGAAAAAGCAACACTTTTACACTGCTAATAGGATAATAAATTGGTACAACTACTATGGAAATCAGTATGGAGGTTCCTCAAAAGACTAGGAATGGAATAACCATATGATCCAGCTACACCACTCCTTGATATTTATCCTAAAGAATTAATTGACACATTATAGTGATACATGCATGCCCCTGTTTGTAGAAGCTCAATTCACAACAGTCAAACTATGGTACCAGCCTAGGGGTCCAGCAGTGGATTCATAGGTAAAGAAAATATGGTATATATACACAATGATGTTTTATTCAGCTGTAAAGAAGAATGAAGTTATGTCATTTTCAGAAAAATGAAAGGAACGTGAAACATTATATTAAGTCAAATAAGCCAAATTCAAAATCAAGATTATATGTTTTCTTCCATATGCGGAAGCTTAGAAGGAAAAAGAAAAAGAAAGTTGAAGGTATGGGTCTCATGAAAATTGAAGGCAGATCAGTAGAGTGAATAGTACAAATGGCCAGGGGACAAGGGGGAGAGAAAGAGGAAACACTGGGGAATGATACTGGCCAAATTATATTGTTACATTGTGTGTATCTACAAATACGTAACAATAAATATTGCCATTATGTATAATTATAATATACCAATRAAAATATGGAAAAAATAATAAGGGGGTAGGAAATTTTTCTTTTTGTTTTAAAGGTTCTCTAATTTACTTAACATTCCATTCTCAATTTAAAACGTCTATTGAAAGTCCCTCTGTGGTCAAATTTTTTCTCCCCTACTTAATATTTACAAAGGCAAAAGATGCCTAATTAGACATAACCTTGATTATACCAATGCTCTAAATAAAAGCGCTAGGGGCCAGGGGGAAGGAAAGAGAAAACTTGGGATGCCAAGCGCCATGTTTCTTAGTTTAAGGGTTAGAATAATTTATAAATAATGCTAAAATATTTTGATTGCATTTTTAGAATTTATATGTAGCATAGCATATAAAGTTAAAAAGATTAAAAATTCATTAATATAGTCACTAATATATAAGGAACAAACAACCACAAACCTTCTTGAGAAGACACAATGGGTGGCATGTAATCAGGAATGTATTCTTTTCTTTCCTCTGCATCTTTACTTCCAGGTTGAGGAAACTGAAGTACATTGTTCTTGCTAACAGGAAATGAAGGGATTTGATGTGGGAAAGTAACAGGTTCAATATTATGAATATAGTCTTCTAGTTCATGTAGACTAACTCCCATGAGTTGGAAAGCTTCACCAACATCATCCAAAATAGGATCTGTTCGACCATCTGAAACAAAGTAAAAAGCAAATCAAATTAGTTTTTTTAAACTACATAAACATTTCTAAAAATATTAATAAAAATGTATTAAGTACATATATAGCTCAGAGTCAAATATATTAAGTATTTAAAACCTAATTACTGKAAAAAATTAATAGATTTTTAAGCAGAACAATACATTATTTAAATAATAAAAAATCTGATTCTTAAAAAGTGAATTTTAAATGTAATTTAACAACCAAAGTATTACCGAAAATTACACAAATAGCGGACAAAAACATAAAAAGTAATTTACAAACTGAGTGTAGTGGTATATACCTAAAATCCCAGAAACTCAGGAGACTGAGCAGAAAGATGGCAAGTTCCCAACCTCAGTAATTTAGCAAGAGACTCAGCAACTTAGCAAGACCCTGTCTCAAAATAAAAAGGACTGGGGATGTACTCAGTGATAAAGTACCTCTGGATTCAATTCCCAATATTAAAAAAAAAAAAAAAAAGAAAAAGTAATTTACAAGGCCAGAGATGTAGCTCAATGGTAGAGTGCTTGCCTGGCATGTGCAAGACCCAAGTTGGATTCTTAATACCACAAGAAAAAAAGAAAAGTAATTTACAGATGGTTGAAAGCGTCTAGAACAGTGGCTGACACAAAGTCAATGTACAATAAATATTGCTATTATTATTTTTATCATGAAATAGCTAATATGCTATGTTGACTAAGCAAATACCTATAACATTTTCTCTATTATTCACTGAGGCATCTCTGGAACCTAAAACAATGGCTGGTACATGATAGGTAGTCAATAAATATGTGTTGAATTAAATCACTGAAAATTTTTATTTTATTGGGGGAAAGGTACTAGGGATTTAATCCAGAGGTGCTATACTACTGAGCTACATCCCCAACCCTTATTATTATTATTATTATTATTATTATTATTATTATTATTATTTATTTTGAGACAGGGTCTTGCTAAGCTGCTGAAGCTGGCCTTGAATTTATGATCCTCCTGCCTCACCCTCCTGAGTTGCTGGGATTATAGGTATGCACCGCTGTGCCCAGTTCAATTTTTTAAGTCCAAGAATATTTATAAGAAAGGACTTAGATCATAAAGGTAATTTATATATAAATTTTCAAGTATAAATCAAAGACATTACATAAAATGGATAGGAACAAAAAGATAAAAGTTAGATAATAGTTTCTTTACAAAAGCAGTTTTTTCCTATGCCAATAGCAGAACTTTTTTCCTACCTTAGCAGAACTGAAGGTTCCTAATTCTTTTAAAACTTCTAGGAAAATTCCAGTTCTCAATTTCCAAAGACCCCAAAGAATATTTTTTACCTGAGATCTTTTATGAATATCTCAAACTCAATATATCCAAGATTAAATCACATTGTAAAGTGGAAAAGAAGAATCAAAATTTGACAAGAAGTAGACAAACAAGTGCTCACAGGACACAGGAAAGTCTGAAAAGACATCCAGTCGAGGGTTAACAATTCAAAAAGGTAGAAGCTGCAGCAAGAGGAATAGCATGGTTGAAGTAGAAGACTTATTTCTTTTTTTTTTTTTTTTGGTACTAGGGATTGAATTCAGGGGAATTCATCCACCGAACCACATCCTCAGTCCTATTTTGTATTTTACTTGGAGACAGATTTCACTGAGTTGCTTAGCACCTCGCCATTGCTGAGGCTGGCTTTGAACTCAAAACCTTCCCATCTCAGCCTCCCGGGCCACTGCGATTACAGGGGTGAGCCATTGTGCCCAGCAGAAGAGTTATTCCTAAATTCAAACACCTGCAGAATTTTTTCTACAATATGGGTTACTTTTGTCATGTGTAAAAAGTAAAATATAAATATCATTATTCTTACTGAATGTAGACATGCACTTCACTTCCTTATTAAAGTCATTATTACTCTCATTCAAAAAAATAGAATCATAATTTCCTCCACATGCTGTGTAGCTTCAGCTCAAGAACTTCTGGTGTTTCCCTCTCCCTTCTTCTTGCCATAGATGTCAGATTTTTATCCATGGGTATACATTCCAGATTCCTGGTAGATGCTAAAGCCTCATATAATACTGTATACCATATATACTACTTTTTCCTATACATACATACGTATGATAAAGTTTAATTTGTGTATTAGGCACTAAAAGAGGTTAAAACAATAACTAATTAAAACAATTATAACTAGATAGTCTGATAAGTTATTTAAAACTTACAAATTGTTATTTCTAGAATATTCCACTTAATATTTTCAGACCCTGAGTACCTAAAATCACAAAAAGTAAAAATACAGATAAGGGAAGCACTGCTATATCTTCAAATTCTGCCCACCTGAATATCTTCTGCACTGCATCTCCAGAATGATTCTGTTAAAATATCACTTTTAACGCAGTACCCCCCACCCCCACCCAATTTAAAGTATGCAACATTTTCTACCATGTTTTACTTCTCTTATAAAGCTTTTAAGTCCCTCTCTAACCCAACTTCACTCTTTTGGCTATTTTCCCTGAACATTCTCCAAATGACTAGCTGCATATGTCAAGCTGGTCACCTTAGTGAGTGCTGTTATTAATCTCACTTGTACATCTTATTTTATGCTATTCTCCAACCCAGAATTTTCTGTACCTTTATATAACCACACATAGCTCAACTCAAATCTCATCTTTTCTGTGAATCCATAGCCCACAAATACCTCTACTTTCTCCTACTCCTTTTGCATTTACTGTCTATACTATGCAATAATTAAGAGTACTAGTGTTGAAGTCATTTTTTAAAATTTAGCACCTGCTTTCGGTGCCTGTACACATATTTCACACATAACATAATACTTAAAAAAATCTGCTCTTGAATACTTGGAGAAACTGTCACCTTAGGAAAATTTAAAAATTATTTGTTGAATTCATAACTTCCACTTCTTGCTTTAACTTGAGAACTTTTTTTTTTAAGGAAGATGTACTATCAGTTTGTTTCAGTTGACATGTTAGAGATTATGTCTTATAATCTGTTTCCAACACAAAGTACAAGGCTTAGTTCATAGTAGTAGTCAATCAATGTTTGTCAAAAAGAAAAAGGATTTAAAGTAAGGTAGAATACAAGATTGCCCAGTGGTAACTTAAGGTTACAAATTCTATTTTAAATAAGAATAATAATGAAAAAAGAACCTAAAAATGTCTGTCTAGTACATATATCTGAATAAGCATTTTTAAAGTCACCAAACCACAATGGGGAATAATGAGCCTGATAATCATATTCTCACTAAAATGAAGAAAAAAGACTAGGAAAAAAAATGAATAATTAGGAATAAGGTTCATATTACAGTGTTACAATGATCCTCAATGACTTTAGAACACCTAATAACATGAAATGCCAGTGCATATTCTAGTTCTGTATATAAATCACGAAAGGTAACTATGTATTCAGAGAATATTTGAGTACCTAAAAGTATAACATCTGTCCTTATATAGCAAACTTGGTAGCAAAAACACAATCTGGACCTGCCCCAATGGTAACAGTATACTCAAGGATCATGGAGGGGGTCCTGAAAGGAAAGAAGCGAAGGTCAGTAGAGTATCTACTGGTATTATACTTACAAGACAACAATGAATGTTTGCAGATCCCAGTTTAGAAGTACTGGTGAAATCAAGCATTCAAAAAAATAAAAATTTTACTAATTCAAAAGGTGAAATCCACAATAGCTATTATGATARTGGAGCGTTCATTCGTTAATTTATTCCACAAATATTTTCTGGGTGCCTATTATATATTGGCACTATACTAGGTTACAGAATACAAATACAATCAATTTGTTTCTGGAAAAGGGGAGATATATTCAGACATTTACAAGACAAGAGTTTAAATAAACTCAACAGAAATATGCACAGAATTATGAGAGCAGATAACATAAGTTTCCTAGAACAAGTGATAAGTGAACCTTAAAATCTCAGTAGTATTACTGATGGACAAGGGTGGGAAGGACGCTCTAGCAAAACAACATGCATAAAAGAGTGGATAGCTTAAAATGTTTCAGAAAAGGCAGGTAGCTCAGCATGGTTGCAGATTAGTATGGTGGTGTGGCAGAAGATAAGAGAAATGTTGGCTCTCAAAAAAGTACTATGTGATATTAAGAGTTTAGATTTTTAACCTGTAATCAGTGGAGTGCAACTTTAGTATTTATAAGAAGAATGATAGTATCAGATTTGTGTTATAGACAGCACCATGGAAATAAGAATCAAACTTGGGGCCTCAGAAGTACAGCATATCTACAGGTCTTAATTGTTTAATGGTAACAAAATATTCACTGAAACACTTCATCTAGTTCTCCAATTTGCCACGTTAATAATCATAACCTGATATGTAAATGAGTGCTCCTCCAACAGATGTATTCATATGCATGCTTCACACATCAACAAAATGATTCCAAATTAATGACACCAGCTCCAGATACTTCCAGACATTCACTTAAAAGACATAAATATTGTATTCCAGATTACCTTGAGAAGCTCTCAAATAACCTATGATCCCTCTACCACACTTTGATAATCACTGACAGAAACAGAAAGGAGGAAGCCAATGGATAACTGAGCTATAAAAGTTAATCTTACTAGAGAAAACGACAAAGTCGGTCTTGGGAAGTAATAAGTGGAGATGTTGTCTGTGAAAGGGACAGATACAGAAAGAAGAGGCAGTGTCCCTAACGTAGAAGAGCTGTCAACGAGTCTGTAGTTAGGAGCTCAAGAATGGCCAGTCTTGTAAGAAACGGCCGGTAGACGGAGCGCCTGTGACAACTAGTTGTAGTAGTTTGCGGGCAAAGGAGGAAAAGGACCAAGGTAAGAGGTGGTGTATGGCATTCTGGGGATGGTTCTACTCACAGCAAACAGGAGACAATGAGAAAGAGCGAGGCACACTTCAGAGCCAAGCAAGGTAAGGGGTGTGGAGCTGGGAGCGGAGACCGGCTCCCCGGCTGGTGGCGGGAAGTTAGCGGATGAGGAAGAGACACCCAAGCGATGACTTGAGTTTGCAGGGGCAGGGGAAGCCCAGGGGCATCGGAGGCCGAGAAGGTGGCACATCTCGGGGCCGGGTGCAGAACGCGAACCCCGGGGACGCCGAGAGAGGGACGGGGAGGCTGAGGTGTCACTCGTGACTTGCCGGGGCAGCCCTCCCGCACCCAGCCCGGTACTCACAGAGTTCAGAGTACCGATGGCAGCCCCGGCCCAGCTGCTGCAGATATCGCTGCAGCACGTCCGTGAGGAGGTGGCAGGCGCTGAGCTGCACCGAATCCCAGCCCAGCGCCTGGCAGATCTGCGCCACCGAGACCCTCAACAACGACCTGGAGTAACTCTCGCACATCCCGCTGCGTGGACGCCACCGCAGCCCTTGCTGCCACTTCTCTCCAGCCCCGCCGCCTGACCTTAGCAGAGCCCCCGATTCATTCTCTGGGGCCCCCGCGGCGGGGAAATCGTCCCCCCGACCCCCGGCGACCACCTCAAAGCCCCAGCAGCACGGAGCGCGCCAGCCTGAGAGCCGCCATTTTGGRCTCGCTCCGCCTCCCGCTGGACGGCCGCCGGGGCGAGGCAGCACGAGACGAATGCCGGTAGCGTCGATGAGAAAGCTCCGCCCCGTGGGAGCAGAGCGATGGGCTCGTTATCGACTCTCGGGCCTGAAAGTCGGCCGGAAGCGGACGTGTTGAGAGAAGGTGGAGGATGCGCCCCGGGACAGCAGGTGTTGGGGGGTTTCTGGGGGTCTGGCTAGGAGGAAGAGGGAATGTTGGTGTTCTAAGGGGCAAGCGAGGGAGCTGGTATAGGACGTTGGAATGTTAGACATTTGATACTCATGGTGTTGATATTAGAGAGTTCAGTGTTAAAAGTTAGGGACGTGGGAATTTAAGGTGCTACCCATACGCAGATCTAACCTGGTCTTGCCTTTGCTAAAACATAAAATAAATACAAGTGGTGCTTGCCACTCTGCGGTTTGAATAAAGTACATACTGTTCAGCACGCTCTGTGCCCAACTAATGGGGACGCCACAAAAGCAGTGACAAGATAAGCAATATTTTATTATTATTTCTTCTTTTTAAAAATGGAATCTCATCCCTAAAACTCCTGTCCTCATTCACCTCATTGTGATCCCAATTCTGTTTCCGATACAGCTTCGCAGCTACAAGCACGCAAAAACAGGTGAGCCGCTAGTGGGCGGGGGGTTTGCCAGTTTGAGGATCCCCGGGCTCTGTGACCTACCTAGGGTTTAGATAGGTTTCCTACAAAGGACAAAGCAGTACCATAAATGCATGATGTAGGCAGTGTGCTGGGAATGGTTGCCTCCAGAGCCTTCTTCCAGCCCCAGCTGAGTAATTGCTGGATCATTCCAAGATGCTGGAAATGGGGGTGTTGAAATAAATAGCTTGATTTTTAAATATTGAAAACAAAAATTTTGTTTTATTTGAATTGGGGTATCTCTGTGTTGTCCAGGATATCCTCAAACACTTAGGCACAAATGATCCTCAGCCTCCGCTGCCTAAGTACCTGGAACTTCTTACTGCAGGTGCCCACCAACAGGCTCAGCCTATTTAGGATGCAGTTTAAAGTGTTAATTTGCCAGCCTAAAACTAATCCCAGAGCTAAATTGGATTTAGCCTGTGAGTAGCCACTTTGTAATGGCTGATCTACTTGGTTTCTTAAATATTCCCTTCTGTATCACACAATATTTAGTATGAGTTTTTGTAGCTTCCCTCAATAAATTGTTTCTGAATAGTTCCATATAGCTTCTACAGGAACTATTCCAGAACCTTGAACATAATGGATAGTCAAGTTTTTATTTGTTAATTATTTTATTTATTTATTTGGTACTGGAGATTGAACCCAGAGGTGCTTTACCACTGAGCTATATCCCCAGTCCTTTTTATTTTTTTGAGTAAGGGTCTTACAAAGTTGCTGAAACTGGCCTCAACTTTGATTCCCCTGCCTCAGCCTCTTGAGTCACTGAGATTACAGGCATGCCCCCACCACACCCAGCAATATTTCAGTTTTTAGAAGTCTTGAAAACCCACCAGTTATGAAAACATGGTACTTTATCCAAATGACAATCTTCATAGAAGGATCAAGGTATGAGGTAGCATAATGTTGACCTTAAACTCCACCATTCACACTTCTGTCCCCAAGATTGTCAGGGACCTTTTTAATGTCAAATCTTTGGGATCCTTTTCAGTCCTAGMCTTACTTGACCATTTTGTAGTTATTTGATAATGTTGAACAATTCCTTAATTTTGAAACTAACTATAAACACAGGTATACACTTCATCTAGATTCACCAGTTAACATTTTTGCCACATTTAGTATATATTTTTGTACTTATATGTACAAAACCTTTTCCCCAGAAAAAGTTGAAAGTAAGTCACAAACTTCAGGACACTTAACCCTGAAATATTTCAGCACGTATCTCTCCCAAAACAAGTATAGTCCCCTGTATAACCATATGTATGACTCTATGCAGCACATTTGGTTCTCCAGGAAGCCAACTCAGAGAGGTAAGCCTGGGTGTGTCTAAGAGTGCTCTGGCATCCACCTGTGGGAGGGAAGGGATGGAAGCAGGACTGCCTTGTGTTGTCAGGAAGACCTTAGCCGGTCCTAGAGTGAGTGCTGAAGCTCAGGTGACCCTTCAGAGTTGTCTTGAGTCCGGACAAGTACCTTAATATTCCCATGTTGTTAGATTACTGCTTGAGGGAAAAGAGTTTGTGATCTGAGGCCAAGTTGCTGATGGAACTGAGTCCGTTCCAAGGGAGGTTGAAATCCTTCAGACCTGAGGATGCTGAGCAAGTCATGATGATATKCACCATAATCTTCCCTCAGGTCCACTTCCTGGTATAAATTTGAGGAACTCCTCTCCCAGGATTGGGGTGGGGCTTTTGGGGAAACTGTTAAAGTGGAAGGTCGGGAGATAAGTTACAGCTCTTACTGCTACAGATAGGCCTTAGTTGATACTCATGGCTTTTCCCTCTACCCTTCATTCTAGATTTCTCTCACTTCTGGTCTCAGTGGCTTAGCTGGGCATAACCTAGACCTTCATGTGTAGGTGTGTAAGTCCGTGGTTTCAATGTCCTTTTCAGACTGTGGCTGCTAAACTTGTCAATATACCTTCAAAGTTGAAGAGTCCCAAAAGGCACACAGACACACCCCTTGCATGCTAAACATTCCTCCTTGGCCTCCTGTAGTATAAAGCAGCTGAGCCTTCTAATTAACCAGTGTCAATCACTCCTACCTGGATGATGACTTCTRCCTTTTCTGCTATCTTTTGGCTAAAGGTACCCAAGAAACAACTGTAGCTAATATTTCAACAGGACTGTTTCTGTGTTCCCTAGTAAAAGCATTGTCACTTTTGGAAACAGCATCTGTAAACCTGGAGAACCCAGAGTTGCAAGAACAGGAACAATTTCCCAAGTAGGTCACTTTGAAACTCCAGCTTCCGCCCCTGTCATCTCCCTGTTGAGATTCCCATACCACAGAAAAGTCATTGACTTAAAGTGTACACAGCATCCTGGAGGATCGTAGCCCACCTCATGAGGTACTGCCTGTGGGCTGCTGCTTTAGTTATGTCTGCAAAATAACACTCCATTGCACTACTAGGCCCATAGCTTTTGTGGTGCAGTATGACATCACCAGTGGACTTCATTGCCTTGTGCCTACTCCCATACCTCCTTTGTTATAAAATGGGTCCCTTGGGCTGATGTAGCATGAGATGAGACACCATTTGGTCAGATACTCCAAGCAGGAAAGGCACATCCAAACTCAGAATATGTGTCTGTTACTTACTGAAACAAATGGCTGTTTTTTCCAGGATCAAAGAGGCCCTGTATGGTCAACTTGGTCTTCTTGGAAAGTATTAAAGAATTGGGGAGGGGGGATTCTAAAGCACAATGCCACAAGTAGGGTGGCTTAAACAACATGTACCTCACAGTTCTAGAGGCTAGCAGTTTGAGATCAAGGTGCTGGTGGTTTTGGTTTCTTCTGATGCCTTCCCCTTTGGTAGAAGGCTACCTTTTCAGTGGCTCATGAGGCCTTTTCTCTGTGTTCACACCTCTCATATCTGTTCTTCTCCTTATAAGACAACTRATCCATTAGGTCAGGGCCCCACCCTTATGACTTTATTTAACTTTACCTCTTTAAAAGCCTTAACTCTAAATACAGTCAAATTCTGAGGTGCAGCTGGGATTACACATTTGGGGGGACATAGTGCACTTTATCAAAGAGAGTCACTAGGCCTCTAAAAATGTTACTAAGGTGATGGTCCCCTGAATCTTTTATTTTTTAAAATAATGTTTTTAAATTATTGTTTTATGTGATGATGAGGATYGAACTCAGAGCCTCAAACATGCTAGGTGAACACTCTACCACTGAGCCATTGCCCCAGCACCCCCTGAATCTTTATCATAGAGTTTCTCACCCACCTTCTGAAACACATGCTTTTTATTGTAGCCTTTAAAGTACTAGCCACTTCTTATTTTTCTAGTATGATTAACATGATCATGTCAGTGAAGATAGATGATGTTTTATGCTCATCCAACCAATAGAAAACCCATTGACTATATGGCAACAGAGAGTAGGGGAATTAACACAGATCCAAGGCAAGACCAAAATGTATACTGTATGCAAGACCAAAAGGCATGTGCTCAGCCCTTCAATTCTCATACGTCTTGCCCTACAGGTCAAGAACCACCATGGGTGGTTATGCCAACATCCCATACATCTGATGCATTCAGAAATCAGGGAATGATTCATTCAGAATTGATGCATTCAGAAATCAGGGAATGATTCATTCAGAATTGATGCATTCAGAAATCAGGGAATTGGCCACTGAGTGGGTCCTTAAACCCAGGAGATCCAATGTGAGCTGGGATTGAGCCAAGATTCCAGGGATTGTTTGACTTCAAATGTCCCCATTACAAAAGAAGGGCAGGTGGGGTCCACAAAGAATCTGCATAGCCTAATTTCATTCTTACCTTAATCCCTGTGTTCAGCAGTCTGCAGAACATGTGGGTACTCCCTCCAGTGGTTGGTGACCTGAAAAAATGGCTACCAGTTCTTTGGGCAAGGTGTCGGGGAATCATTTGTTACCTTATCCATTTGGTGTTGCAGTGTCCTTCCCCCTGAAGATCCTCTCCTTTGGTCATAGAGTTTCAGGATGAAAAGTGACTTGGATCTTGAAACAATATAAGGGATCATGGCTATTGGTGTGACTGCTGTGAGCTACCTGATTATCCATTCTTAAATTATTTTGATTATGCAGATCAAGTAGCCTACTATTTGCTGTCTATTTCACCTGGGCATTCTTTGTCCATTAACCATCTCTATAACTCCTTGGGCAAGCCCAGCTCATATATTCATTACATACATTTGTATATATGTATATATATGTGTGTGTGTGTGTGTGTGTGTATATATATATATATATATATGGTTTTTTTGGAAGGGGGTGCATACTGAGATTGAACCCAGGGTCATTTAGCCACTGAGCCATGTGCCCAGCCCTACCTCCTTGTTTTTTGTTTTAAAATATTTTTTTAGTTGTAGTCGGACACAATACCTTTGTTTTATTTATTAATTTTTATGTGGTGTTGAGGATCGAACCCAGGCCTCGAACATACAAGGTCAGCACTCTACCACTGAGCCACAACCCCAGCCCCCTACCTCCTATTTTTAATATCATGATAATTGCATTCACCTGACTTAAYCAGTAAGCAATTCAGCTCTGTGACCTGATCTTTAGAATTTTAGGATCATTTTTTTGAAGGGCAGGCTTRGAGGGTACCAGGGATTGAACTCAGGGGCAATTACTGAGCCATATTTTCAGGCCTATCTTGTATTTTGTTTTAGAGACAGGGTCTCACTGAGTTGCTTAGTGCCTTGCCATTGCTGAGGCTGGCTTTGAACTCAAGATCCTCTTGTCTCATCCTCCAGAGCCACTGGGATTACAGGTGTGTGCCACCACACCCGGCAGAATTTTAGGATCTTGTGATTCCCACATTTCTAGAATATCTAGTGCATTGAAACATCATTACCAGCTAGTTTCATTGTTAAATGATACCAGTTCATCACTGGTGAAAGTTCGTTTGGGAACTGCTGTTATGCAAGGAGTATCTGTGCTCCATCCCTCACCAGTGCTGAAATCTTTAGAGCCAGCCAGGTGGGTGAGCCAGCTTCAAAATCCCATCTTAATACTTGCTCTCTTAGGCCCCCCAAGTACAAACTGTCCCAAGCTGGACAGCCCTGGAGGCAGTCTTTGAGATGTAGATTAACCTGCAGAGACACCTTTGGAGTCACCACTTAGGAAATGGAAAGGGAGGAAGGAGGGCAGGATGTAGGATGGGAGGAAAGGAAAGAAGAATGAGGACTGGAATGTAAGAATGAGAACAGAAAGGAAGAAGCAAGATTTGGGCGGGTAGGGAGACCATGGGCTATGTATAGCACACACTCAAACCAATCCCACAGAGAGCTATAGAGTTAAAATGGCACTTTGAAGTTGTCCTGAGTCAGGCAAAGGGACCTGGACGTTAGCCACTTACATTGACCAGGCATTGAAAGTGGGCTATTCCACATCAGGGAAGTCACATTGCCCCGTTATTAGTAACAAAATTCGATCACTTGTAATTTTTGCCTGCCAAATCTCACCATTGTAGAGACACCTTTTCTTACTTTGAAATTAATCTGTAAAGTGATACTTTCAGACTGAAAAACCTGCTTCTGCTGGGCATGGTGCCTCACAGTTGTAATTCCAGCCACTTGGGAAGCTGAGGCAGGAGGATCACAAATTCAAAGCCAGCCTTAGCAACTTAGCAAGTCCCTAAGCAATTTAGTGAAACCTTGTCTCAAAATAAAAATTAAAAAAGGGCTGGGATTTGGCTCAGTAGTTAAGGACCCCTGGGTTCAGTCCCCAGTACCAGAAAAGAAGACCAAAACCTGCTTCTTTATGACTTTTAACACCTTTTTTATGGCACCTTTCTGATCTCTTTTGCAAAGTGTTGATTTTTCTAAGTGTTGATCATTTCTTTTCCATTTATTACCAGGCAGTYTTCTATAAAGAAAAGTTCTCCTACCTTTTCTAATATCACTATGTGGTCAGAAATTCTTTTTTTTAATTCAATATGAATGTGTTCTAATCTATCACAGTTCTTTATTTTGATGATTAAATCATCCCCTATTTGACCAGTGGGAGCCTATACAAGCCATGGTATTGGTTTTTCTGTTTTATTCCATACCAGAAATTGAACACAGGGGCACTGTAAAACTTAACTACATCCCCAGTTCTTTTCATTTATTTATTTTGAGACAGGGTCTCAAATTTAAGTGGCTGAGGCTAGCCTCAAACTGCAATCCTCRTGTCTCAGCCTCCTTAGTCCCTGGGATTAACAGTATGCGTCACCACACCCAGCACCACTGCCATATTCTTGTACCGTGGCACTATCATTCATTGGGCATTTCCTTACTTGATTTCTAGGCTCCCCTTGGAAGGGCCTCATCTCTTTAAGGGGGCCTGGTTCTTTCTAGTGAGGAATAGTATCTAGAACAAAGATGTGAGTGCTAACAGACCTCCATTAGCACAGTGACATTTTTGCTTTGGGGACCTTGAAGGATGGAACATATGTTGTATTTAGTGTCCTGAGTGCATATTGATATAACTAATTGAAATCTAAAACAGCAAGTTCCTTTCCTCCTTCCTTGTCAGCTTTATATCTTCCTTCTCTCAAAGGGAGAACTCTGGCTTCAGTAATATCAAAAGGTTCCTTTATCCTATAATGCCTCTGCCTGCTTGTTAGTCTGTTTTCTTTTCATGACTCACCCCAGTGGTTTTAATCATTGGCTTTATAAAGCTGATACCTTAATATAACACTTTATTTCACATTTTTCCTGAATGCCATACTGGTGTGGCTGACTACATCTAATGACCAAGGTCTGCCTGGATTTCCTGTATATACCTTAATATAATTAATGTTTGGTGGATACCCAAAGTAAACTCATTGTTCTTTCTCTGTGTTCTTCAGAAAGTGGGAGCTGTGTTCATCTCATTCACTGTTAAGTACCCAGTATATAGCACAGTACCTAGCAGGTAGTCAGTATTCAAATAAATAAAAGCTTTTTAGAATAATTCATCTTGCAGTAATGTATAAAATGGAGTAAACACAACTCTAAAGATAATAAAACACTGAACTGTACACTTTAGAAGGACAAAGTTTATGCAAGATGAATTATATCTCAATGAAACTTATTTTCAAATAAAAAAATTAGAAGCAGTAAGTGTGAAAGCCAGGAAACAGGAACCTACTGCAAGAGTTATTGCAGTGAAATAGAGAGCTGCTTTCTTTAAGGGCAATGGAATCCAAGTAACTGTAGACAGCTTAGTAGGGCACAAGTTATGTTCCTCACCACTACTACTATATGCAGAAAAAACTATCTTCTTGTGTATAGTTGGCAAAGCATATTGAAGCCATGTTCAGTTTTTTTCCTCATGATCCTATGTTGGGTCTAGTTAAGAGAAATGCAGAATTTCTAATAAAAGTGCCATTTCCGATGGGTATTGCTTTCCTTTATACATAGTTAATTAGCTGGTGTTTAAAAGTAGAGTAAAAAAAAATTGATGGTGTGTTCATATGAACAGCAATTATGTAAATTTTCTTACTTTAAAGTTGCAACACAAATGAAAAAGTTGATGTTACTAAGATGGAAAGATTTTGTATTTCAATTAAAAACACTCAATTTCAAAAATAAGCAATGAATGAATGGGCTATTACTAGCTTTTCACTTGTCGGATTGTTAAGATTAGAAAGCACAGTTTTAGAGTAGGGGGAACCTATCCTATGCACTGTTGATTCAACTTTACAGTTATTTTGAGAGCAGTCTGGCAGTGTTTGTTTTAAAATGTACAGTTTGTACTTTGCATAGTACTAGCAGTATCATAGCCAATGAGGTTTACCCAAGGCACAATTAGTAACTGAAAATTTACATAATTTGAGTCAAAAGTATTCAATACAGTGTACAAAAGGACTCCTTACCAAGATCATTTTAAAYTTTCACAATAACGAGGACAAAGATATCTAAAAGTTTTTGGGACTGGATGAGTATTGAGGGTGTAGCCTAATGGCAGACCATGTGTTCAGTTAACATGATCTAAGCCCTGGGTTTCCAGCACCAAAAACCAACAACAGAGAAGAAAAACAAGCATCCCAAAGTTCAGATATCAAATGATTTAAAAACTTTTGAAGTGTCACATGGAGGCAGGAAGATGAAAAAGCCAAATCCCTTTAAAAATTCAGAAGGAAATCAATTTCAAACCTAGAATCTTTACCCTAGCAAATACTTCTAAATGTGCAAATAGAATAGACATTTTAAGGCACAGGTCTTAAGATCTTGGGAGCCTTTTTGTTGGAAGCAGTACAGTACTGATTTCTTTACAGGTTTGCACTTGCTAAGTGATTTTTTTTTAAAATGCTTGAATCCTTTCTAAATATATACACTTACATTTTTAATGGTTTTTAAAAGTTATATACGTCAACTGTTAAATATTTGAGAATGGGTTTTATGTTTTTATATAGTTTATATCTTTTGGAATTCACATATATTTTTTTTATTACAAAATAAGTGCCCTACAAAGCCAACATGGCACATAGTCTCAATTCAGACATCCAATCTGATGGTTATATGAATGTGAATATCATACTTAAATATTTTCCTAATGTTTGCAAAAGGATTTTATTAGAAAATTTATTTKGGGTCAGGGATGTAGCTCAGTGGTAGAGCACTTGCTTAGCATATAAAAGGCCTAGGTTGATTCCCACCAGCACTGGAACTAAATAAATAGAGTGAGTATATGCCTAGAATTCTGTATCCCATGTATGAGGAAAACCAAATGCCTCCAGTAGCATTTTGCTGAAAGACTGCAAAAGGAAATTTTTTCAAAAAGAATGGCAGCCAGGGTTGAAGGTGTGATGTGCAACCCCTAGAAAGCTGGCCCTAAAGAAACTAGACTTTTTAAGGCGGGTAAAATTAGAAGAGCTTCTTAAATTTCTTCCAAAAAATAATTTCATAGTATCATACTAATATTTTTAAATGTTTTAACGCCTCATTTTGAAAGGTGTAGTCACTTTTCCTTAAGAGACAAGGGACAATGATTTTCTTAAGTTGTTTATTGTAAGATAATTTACAAACATCTTGCTGTCTTTAGTAATTCAAACAATGAACCACATTTCTTCTGACAGACAGCAGTAAGCTAAAAATAAAATCAGCTCACAGAATTTTCCTTCTTTATCTGAAAAAGAAAAGTAAAAAACAAGTAAAAACCATATAGTATTTTTTTTGGAAAATAATGATGTCAAGAGATAACATTTTAATTGGAACATAAAGAACTGAATTTATAAACTATTCCAGTGGTCCTCAAATTTTGGTCTGTGGAAACTTTTTATAAGGGCAAAACTATTTTCATACTACTGTTATTTTTTGTTTTATTCTCATTTTATTCATAGAGTGTATCATGATTTTTCAGAGGCTACATGATGCATGACATCACAACAAAATGAATACAAAGCCAGATGAAAATCTAGCTGTCTTCTGTTAATCGGACATTAAGGTGTTCTTTGACCATAAATTTTGAGAACCACTCTTCACTAACCTACACATAATATCTCAAAATAATGTTAATTCTCAATTCTTAAAGTTTATTTCCTTCCATATACTTTTCTATAATCAACCAATTTATTTAAAAAATCCTTAAAGTTTATTTCCTTCCATATACTTTTCTATGACCAACCAATTTATTAAAAAAAATTAATGTAAAAAAAAAAAAAAAAGCCCCAAAGCCCACTAGCTTCCATAAATTGGCTACTACTACAAATTGCCCTGCTCACCTAAAATCTCTTAGAGAAGCAGTTTTGTTATTGATAAACTGGCTTTAGTTTTATCTGGCTAGGTTTCTTTTCTGAAGGAATATGGAAGAGCAAGTGCACTTTACCTCTCATCTGGGGATGGAACTTGATCATTAATCCCTGGTTATTATATTAGAAGAAAAAGACAAACACAAAACAAGCACGTTAAAAAGCAATCCATGCTAGTTAATCACAGTCCATTTCTTTACATGCTACCTTGAGTATATTATATAAACACTAACCCACATATTCCTTTAAAAACAACTAAATGATATAAAAAGCTATAGATTTCACTGTGATTAGAAGCAAAAAAAAAAACATGTTCATGCAAGTAGGCAAGACTGAATATATAAATTTAAGTTACTATTTTTTCTATAGTTTAAGCTTGCAAATTGCCACCTCAAATATTATGGTTTATTCACGCATTTAATTTTATTTCTAAGTAGTCAATGTGTTTGTAATTACGTATTACAATTTTGAATCATAACTGATGAGTTATAGAACATGCAAGTCCAGTCATATAAACAATCCAACTTTGGGACCGCACAGCTAACTTTTAAAATAAAGATTTAGATAACACTTCTAGAGTAAAAAAGTAACAGTCAAGTTCCAATTATCTAGATTTTTCCCCCCTTAAATTCTTAGTTTTATGTCCCAATCCCCCATTCCTCATTTCCATCAAGAGCCTGATTCTCATTTTTGCACAAGTTTTATCATCACAGTTCATAACATCATCTCTTCAAGAGCAAAAAAGTACTTTTGAGTCCTCTGGGTGATCTCACACAGCACCCAGGCCTTCAAAATGCAGCCCCCTCTCCCCCTACCCGGGCCTTCTCACAGTTAACTTCCAAGAAAAAATCAGCTTAGAATCAACACAGGACATATGACCAGGAGAATAATGACAAATCATTTAATCCCTTTATTAGACCAATTTTATAGATGACAAAGGTGAGTCACAGAGTATGAAGAGAGGATTCCCCTAGCCCAATAGGTAAGGATAAACARGAAGCAATTAGATAAAGAATCCAAAGATCAAGGTGAAGATAAGAATGACATTTTAGGCAAAAGCACAAACCACCTCTTTGGAGGTGAGAAAGASAATGATGCATTTGAAGACCTGAAAAGAGATCAAAGTGACTGAGGTTCAAGCAAGTAAGAAATAATTAGACTGGAAAGAGTGTTGATGGCCAGAATACATAGGATCCCTTATAGTAATACAGAATGATTATATTATAAAGAATGGATTCTGTTATTTTCTTAATAATGTACTAAAGATCAAATTTTTTCTGTGAATCATATATTGTCTGACTTTTTTTATAATCCTTTAAAAATGTAGTTATGGGCCACAGTTTGCTAATCCCTGTGTTCTATTCAACATCTGTTTTCTCTGTTAAGACTTTACCACGCATGCTACAAACAGTTTCTGTTTGTTTCTTTTAAGTGCCTGTGAAGGGTCAGGTGTAGTGGTATACACCTGTAGTCCCAGTTACTTGAGAGGCTGAAATGGGAAAATTGCTTGAACCCAGGAGTTCAAGGTCAGCCTAGACAACATAGCGAGACCCTGTCTTAAAATAGAAGCAAATACAAAAACCTTATTCCCCACATTTTCTTGAGAAGGGTTAGTACTGGGCACTTTACCAATGAGCTACATCCCCAACCCTTTTTATTTTGAAACAGGGTCTTGTCAAGTTGCTGAGGCTGGCCTCTAACTTGCAATTCTCCTGCCTCAGCCTCTCAAGTCATTGGGATTACAGGTGTACACCACTGTCCCAGCTCAACCCTTTTTAAATTCAGGAGCGAAATCTATGTTAGATGGGCCTAAAATATTACATAGGTATTTAAAAGGTAAAACTTACAGAATTTGGTAAGCAATTAGTAGGAGGTTAAGATGGAATAAGTCAAAGTTATTTTGCTATACATTTCATCTTTTGTCACACATATATTTTTCTTATCCTATTAAAATATAAATGTCTTGAAAGAGGATCACATCCTTAACACTGTGCCTAGCATTGTACTTTGCACATTGTAGATGTTCAACTTAATAATTTTTTAACAAAATTCCCATTATCTTATCCTTTGTTTCACAATCACTAAATTTTCTCAACCAATTTTCTTGAGGAAGGCAGTATGCTATCTTATGGCACTCAAATAGAAAACAACAATTAAAAAGAATTCCTGAACTCTACCTCTATTCAATGGTTTATAGTTATGCAAAACCAGTCCTATAACTCACAAAGCATGGCTTATAATGCTTTAACAGTCAAAGACAGATTTTACAAATGATAATCATTCATATCCTCCTTCCCATGATCCCTGAACAGAAGAAACTAAGCCTGACTGTTTCAACTGAAACAATAAATTTAGAGATCTCATTTCCATCAAATCATTATATCCTAAGAGTAAGGACAAAAGATTAAGCAATGAATCATTTCAACCTTAATAGAGAAAACAAAACACAAAACTTTTAAGCAGCCAAGACTAAACAACCACATGCAAGGTGAAGAGTCAGAAAAATCCCTCTGAGGGAACAATCTGTAATTACTTACAGAGCTGCAGCACCAGAGATAATTTCAATCAACTCTTTTGTGATGACAGCTTGTCGGGTGCGGTTGAATGTCAAAGTCAATTTATCAATCATCTCAGCTACCAAAAAAAAAAAAAAAGATAATAAACCCAAACAAGAATAATTRGTTAATTAGCCTCTTGCTCATTTTAAAAACAAAAGATTGTCTCTCTTTTTTTTTTTTAAGTTGTGGATGAACACACAGTATCTTTATTTATTCTTATGTGGTGCTGAGGATCAAACCTAGTGCCTCACACATTCGAGGCTAGCGCTTTACCACTGAACTACAGATCCAGCTCAAGAGATTGTTTCTTCCTGGATTTCCAAACTGACTTCTCAAAAAAAATTTTCTGAAGGCATTTTTATATCTTCCATAGGCTACCTTGCACAGTATTTGCAAATCTATCAAGTAAGATGCACTTCCCTCTGAGGCAGAGAATATATTGTTAATGGTGTCCCCCTGACCCCCCTGCCCACTTATGGTACTGGAGATTGAATCTAGGGGCACTTTAACACTGAACTACATCCCCAGTACTTCTGTATTTTTATTTTGAGACAGAGTCTTACTAAGTTCACTTCAAACTTGGGATTCTACTGCTTCAGCCTCGGTTTATAGGCATGAACCACCACACCTGGCTACTATTTTTTGATGCTACTCTGGGCAACATCAGCAGAGGTACACCCTGGGCTCACAAACATTACTGCTAGTTCTGTCCTTATTGTGAGCTTACAAGCGTTTTTGCTGGCATTGTCCATAGCTGTCATTCTAGCACTTTGCTCGCTGGTGGTAGACTCCTTCAGGGAGTAGTAGATGATGTTGGCCAGATTGTATTCTTGGTAATTTTGCAGCACATCAGCATCAATATCATCATAGATGCTCATGCTCTCTGTTAAAATAAGTGATGCATTTCTTTGAAATTATACAGACCAAAGACTAAATTCATCAAAACAGCTTAATAGTATAAAAATCCTTTATAGACATTTTAAGGTTAAATAAATCTGTTCTAATAATTTCATTTATTTCTGTACTACATATCATAGCACATTTTCAGCAATATAATATGTAAACAAAGCCTTTGATACTCTATTTCAGAAATTTAAATACAAAGAAGCTGACATTCAAAACAATTACTAAACTTCATGGTTGTTAAGTTCTCTGGATAGCACCAACCAGAGTACCACAAATCCAGCAAGAACTCAATTTTTTTTTTCCAATAAAACAATTACTTCCCTCACCAGCCACTATAGTGTGATACAATAATTTCAAGTTAGCCATTTAATTATTGAAGAAATATAAATGTCAATCTGGAAAACTAAATGAAAGAATCTTTCTAAGCATAAGAAAGAATGGGAGAACTAAAAGCTGATATGAATTTCAGTTTTAATGTTGTAAAAACTTACTAGCCCATTTCCCTGGGTTGAACCCAGGAGTGTTTAACCACTAAGCCACATCCCCAACCCACCTCCACTTTTTTCTTTTAAATATATTTTCAATTGTAAGTGGATACAATACCTTTATTTATTTTTATGCAGTGCTCTGGATTAAACCCAGTGCCCCACTCGTGTGAGGCAAGTTCTGTACAACTGAGCCACATCCCCAGCACCTCCAGCCCTTTTTATTTTGGGACAGGGTCTTCCTAAGTTGCTTAGGGCCTTGCTTTAATTGCTGAGGCTGGTTTTGAGCTTGCAGTCTTTCTGCCTCAGCCTTCTGAGCTGAGGTGTTATCACTGCACCAGGTTTGTAACAGGTCATTCTGGACAAATACTACGTTCCTTAGTGTACAACTCTCTCCATTCCATATTTAAAAATACTTTCCATATAAAAACTACTTACCAGCACTTGCAATAGTATTAAGAGAAAAGATGGGCTTTTCTTCTGTCTTATAGGAGATTACAGACCTAGAAATCATTAAAGCAAATATAAATCTCAATGATTTTTAATGTAAGACATTTAGTTATTTGAAAACATGAATAGAAAAGAACTTTGAATTCTAATTGTTTCTTGCCTGAATCGATTAAAGATGATAGAGCCTTCATCAAACTCATATCCAGAATTTAGTAATTCAAGAGCAATGACCGATGCATCTCCAAAAGTAGGGGGCTTTCTTCCCACGTCTTTGAATGTCACCAAAAACTGATCCGAATGCGTCCTACAGATCACATATAATAGTTTAATAGAATATTTGTGTTGAAAGAACACATGGAAAAAGAAAAAAAATTATCACCAGGGAACAAGTGTTTAGGGAAATATGAGTGGTGATGGCTCTGAGTTAAGTTGTTGTGYGTATTTCATGATATGTTGTTATAATATGTTGTACATATTATTACTCCTTTCCTTAAGTACCTGCAAAGTTTGGACTAAAAATCCCAGATTTCTTATTTTATATTCTCTTTGCCTTTATATCTCTTTTAATCCTAATAAACTATTGTTCCTTTCTCACATTTCCAGGCTGTGACAGCTCCTAAAGTTCTTTGTTTGGCTTACTGCCAAAAACTTTGGACATTCCCATTGTATTCAACTTATGGTACAGATGAGGGACAAACGGGAAAGTAAGTAAAAAAGGGGAAGGGGAAATATATATTCCAATATATCCTGAAAAAAAAAAATAAAAAATAAAATCTCTTTGTGAGTATGCCAAAAAAGGTAACTAAAAACGATATTTGATTAAACTATCAAAGAAACTTCCATTTCATCATTCTGAACATGAACAACAGACATTTAATGTACCTATGAAGTATGCCTCTGATTTTATCACCAACTCCAACAAGCATAACTTCTTTTCCAGCTGCCGTGAGTGTAGCCACCTCACTTTTCATCTGTTTGGCAACCGAGGAATGAATAGCACCACAAAGTCCTCGATCTGAGGATACACCAATAAGGAGGTGTTTCTTCTTGTCTTCAGGTACCTTAATATCAGCTTTCTCATACAGAGCTTGAAAAAAAAAATGCAATTTATAATAAGATAGCAATAATCCCTAGTTTACCAACACATGCTGTTTTCACAATATGCAATTAAATTTAAGTGACACTTGACAAGTGTCTGTGTAGGTACTTTATTTACAACTAGGCTGAAAACCAGAAAGTTTTAAATCTGTATGTAAGAAAGTTTCCTAAGGGTCAATTAATGGCCAATTTTCTTAAATATTGACTAAAAGAAATCTCTAGTACAATTAAAAACTTGTAAAGAGCACAGAATTATAGAGACACCTACTTGTCTAGATACCAGACTTCTACAGAATGCAAACTTCCTGCTCTTTCAGGAAGAGCAGGAAACAAATATTTACTAAGCTGCTTATATAATCTACATATCAAGTTCTTACAAAAAACTACTAATTTTGAAGTAATGAAAGACAATTTATTTTTGGTATTATTTATCAACTGTGTTGGACTAGTCTTCCAAGAAACAAAGGCAAATGAGATTAAATGGGATTAAAGATACACTATTTTACTATGAAAATACTTGTGAGAGAAAACAGGAAGAAGTCAAGAGACTGAAGAGCCATCTACCATGATGCAAGCCTAACCTGCAGGAAGGAAAGGAGGAAAGGCTAGGTAGCAGAGTTCTTCACTACTGGCAGTTTAAGGCTGCTGGGAGCCCCAAGTCTCCCTAAACCAGACCCGCTTTCCCAACTGCCTATACTCAGTCACTGGCTAGAAGCAGCCCTTGGGAAGGATGGCTTGACCAAACAGGGTTTTAACAGCTGGCACTCCCTACAGTTGCAAGGTACATTTTGCAATCATTACATTCACCCACTTCAACAGCAACAAAAACAAGGAACAGAGCACTTAGCATTTAGGCCTCCCAAATAACAAGGCCCTGGGTTAATCCCTAGCACCACAGGGGGGAAAAAAAAAGAACAGAGCACATTTACCCACTTCAAGAAAATTCCTGCTATTTTCCTCTTTAGTATAAAACAATCACAGGATCTCCCATAAAGAATAGAAAGAAGTAAATACTCAACTTTACAGAGTGGGAAGAATACTTCTTTTAAGTTCTTTAAAAAATGTTTTGCACAGTATAAAATGTCTATTTTAAAATCTTTAACATATTTTTAAAAATTGGTTTAATTTTTGTCTTTGTAGTCGTAGATGGAGAGTATGCCTTTATTTTATTTATCTATTTCTATGCAGTGCTGAGGATTGAACCCAGTGCCTCACACATGTGAGGCAAGCGCGTTGCCACTGAGCTACAGCCCCAGCCCAATATTTAAAACTTTTAACCATTTCATACCTAGCAGTTCATACCTTTTTAGTTTAAAGGGCACAGAAACTGAATGGCAGCCTTGACTTAAATTTTCATTTTTATACTGCAAATAACTCTATTCAGCCATCTGAACCAGTTTCTTATTTATTTAGTGGTTCTGGGGATTGAACCCAGGGCCTCATGCACACCAGCTAAGAGCTCCAGTACTGAGTCACATCCACAGCCCCTGGTTTCTCCTTTATTAAATGAGTATTTTGTGGCTATGAACTTTTGGGGGGAACATTATTATATTTATTAACAAGAAAGGTAAATAGTTCAGTGACTTTTTTTATATATAAATAAGTCAAAGAATAATTTTTAAATGAACTCTTCTGTTTGCCAAAGTTAACCTGGCCTTAGTTTTGGCTTGAGAAACTTGGTATGAAAATGCAGTAATTAATATACTACATCTGAAGGGCCAGGGGTACAACTCAGTGGTAGAATCTTGCGTAGCATGTACGAGGACCGTTTTGATCCCTGGCACCAGAAAAAAGTAAAAGAAAAAAGAGAGAGAGAGAGAGAGAGAGAGAGAGAGACAGACAGACAGACAGACAGACAGACTGTGGAGTTAGAATTATTGAATGCCCACTATGCCACAAATTCTACTTAAAAGTTAGGTATCCAATAATATGAGTAAGACATAATCCTATATAAACTGGAAATCACTGACCTACTCTAGGCTAGAAATGAGCATCACAACCAACCTGAGAATGAGTCTTATGAGAGTTAGTGGGTTTGAAATGACTGGATAGTTAACCTACCAACTCTCCTCTGTACTAAATATTAAAGTGAGAGGCCATTTCATCTGAGACCTGTTCTATTTTCTTACATAAAATTTTCTTTTGCAGGATAAATGTATGTTTAAAAAGGTACAGAAGAGTACAAAAAATTACTGCAGAAGGCAATTCTACATCTAATGCATAGATATACTTTATATATAATTTGCAGATAATGCAAATATATATTATCTTCCATTTGGAAATAGCAAACTTTGCCTTCTAAGTTCATATTTAAACATTTGCTTGTTAAAACATTCTGTTGGGAAGAATCATTTTCCTTTAGTCCTATTCACTTGTACCTTTACTGAACAATGACTGTTCTAGGTGCTGGGAATGAAGCTTCTACTTAAGTTGGGGAGTCAAATAATAAAACAAGTAATCAAGAACAGGTAGTGTCATGTAGAAAGAAGGAAATAAAGAAGCATAATCCAAATACATGAAGTACTGCAGAGATGATTCAGGATAAGGTGGTTTAAGAAGGCCTGCATGAAATGAAGAGGAGGAGCATTTTGAGCAGAGGAAATTAAAAACAGCAGTGTGGGTGCAGGGAAGTATGTGGGAGGTACAGAATCATGTAAAGACTTGAAGCCCATGGTAACAACACTTTTATGCTAACTGTAAAGAGATTTTAGGGCAGGGGTCAGCATGAACTGCTTCACAACCTAATCATTCTGGCTGTGGAATGCAGAAAAAGTGGAAAGTGGCAAAAGCAGAAGTAAAGATGCCAATTGGAAGGCTTTAAGAACAGCAGTAGGGACTATCTTCTTTAAAATGAAAAATATTCTTTTGGAAAGATATGAGCCCCAAATTTAAGAATTTGGATGATCCTGAGCTGAGACTTTTTTTAGGCTAAGTGGCAGATAAATGGAGGCTTCCTATATGATTTTCTTCACTTTCAAATTTATATAAGTTTCATAATAAAAAGTCAGGCACAGTGGCACAAAGGCTCAGGAGGCTAAGGCAGGAAGATTGCAAGTTCAAAGCCAGCCTCAGCAACTTAGTGAGGACCCAAGCATTCATAATAAGAAGTCAACGGTGACACAGTGGCTCAGGAGGCTGAGGCAGGAAGATGGCGAGTTGAAAACCAGCCTCAGCAACTTAGTGAGGCCCTAAACAATTCAGTAAGACCCTGTGTCTAAATTTTAAAAATATATAAAAAGGATGTGGTTCAGTGGTTAAGCACCATGGGTTCAATTACAAAAATAAAAAAAAAAAAAAAGAAACGTTTTATGATAAGAAGTTAAAAATTCTTTTGAGGTAGGCTTATGTCAATGACACAGAAAAATGCAAGAGTTCAAAGAAAACGGTTACAGGTCATGGTGGGAACTTTCCAGTTCTATCCAATTTTGCTTATTTCTGAGACAAATCAATAATCAAATAAGTATAAATGCATCTAAAATATAAATTCTTTTTGAAATTATCATGTCACTTTTTTTTCCATTAGGAAGAATAATCAAGAATGGACTACATAAAATTAGTAAAGAAAAATGTGTTAATGCTTTTGAAAGGATAAGAATTGTGATTAAGTGTCATAAAAATGAAGGTTTTTCAGCTATTTTCCTTGTTTCTACATCACAGAGATTCTCAAAACACCATTACAAGTCAGCTCTCCTTTGCAGGGCACCACCTTTGCACCCTCAATCCCCTCACCCTACAGTCCTAAAATACCATATCAAAGGTAACACGATGCAATCAAGCATCTCTCTGTCTCATGTACTATATTTTCAAGTGCTTTTGATAGTATATTTAATAATACAGGAAAGACTTCAGAATATTTAAGGTTCCATATATAGTGGTTACACAGTCACTTCTTGCCCATTTATATGTGACCTTGGGCAAGTTACTTAACTTTGATATGCAGGGACCCTAACAGTTCCTATCGCAGGGTTGCTATGAGTCTGTGTAGAATGTCTGTACGTGAAAAATGAGTACATGTCAAGTATTCAGAATAGGCCCAGTATTACAGAGAGCACTAAAGAAAAGTCATAAATAACTTTTATGTTTAAACAGTTCTTCATAATTTGTGAATCAAATTCTTCTCTTACCCAAAGATCCTATTCCATACACTCGAGCTGGTTTCAATTCCCTCTCAGCTCGGGCATATTTTGCTGCTGCTACCATTTTCATAGACTTGGTAATTTTCTGGATGTTTTTGATTGACTTTAGTCGCCTGGTAACTGAAAATTTAAAGGAGTTACAGTATAATTTCATTTGTGAATTCACTGACATTTTTTCTAAAGTGCAAGGAAGAATAATTAGCACTTAGATCATCAATAATCGCCATGATATTAAACTAGTCTTCAGTTAAAATTAGTACTAATAAAGGGCATGACTAGCTGTTATTTGGACAGAATATGCAAATGGCAACCTAAGAGAAAATAGTACATTATATATTTAAAACATTAAATGACACTAAAAATAGCCTTAACCACATATTTTATAACATTATGTATATGCAAACATTATAAATTTTTCTAGTTATATCATTATTACTCTAAAGACATGGAATAAAAATTTTTCATACCACCTTATACTTTTCTAAAACACGTCCAACATCTCACATACATAATATAGATTCATTTTGCCAATTATGGGCTCAAGTGGTATATTTTGAAAGTATTTTTATTTGTCAAAATTTAGTTTTCCGTAATTCATATATTGAGACATACAACATACTTACTATCTTTCAGAGTTGCCATATTTCGAACTTGGATCCTGAGAATAAAAGTTTTAAAAACAGTTTAGTTTTCTGAAATATAGCTCCACTATCTAAAAAAAATATTCAGAGTTAATGTTTAAATATCCATGAGAAACAATCTGTCAAACACGGTAGTCTGAATGTACATGAAAAGACACAGACTTAAATTCCCAATAGTAATAACCAAGGCCTGTACCAAAACCTTGTTTTATTTGGCCTAACTATAACATAAACTGTTTGCTTTAGTCTCAATGGTAATCAAAAATTCTCCATTCCCATCTCCATCTTTGCTTATATTACTTCCAGGATAGAAAAGTCTTTTTCCCTCATTAGGCTAATTACTTAAAATCAAGGCCAGACACACCTAAAAAGCAACCCTTGACTTAATTAGGGCAAAGCAATGTTTTAAAGTAACACTGAGCATCAAATCCAGTGCAGTGGTACACATCTGAATCCCAGTGAGCTGGGAGGGTAAGGCAGGAGGATTACAATTCAAAGCCAGTCTCAGCAACTTAGTGAGACCTTATCTAAAAATAAATTAAAAAGGGCTGGGGATGTGGCTCAGTGGTAACGTGCCCATGGGTTCAACCACCAGTAGCAATAACAACTATAATATTAATATAAAAATATATAATAGTTATCAATCACAGAGCCTAACATGACCACATGGATGGAAGTACATTTATTTAAAATTATTTTACCTTTTTAAATTCAATGAAATAACCTTCTATGTTCCAGTAAATAAGATATGGTTTCTGACCACCAGAAACGTATTATCAACTCAAGTTTTACATCAAATTTAATCAAATATTCACTATCTTGAATATTAAAATGCCAATGCACAAAGGTAAAAATGATTAGACTTGATTGAAAGTTAGTGAAAGATGAATAAGAGGATCCTTACCCCAGCAGAAAGACAACATGTTATAAATTATTATCTTTAAGCCTTTGAATTCACACAAAGTAGTCATGTTGGCCAACAAAGCTACATGGGAGAACTGAAGAATCAGTAAATTATGCATAAAGCCAGGCCAAAGGTGGACATTCTCAGAACTGGATGCAGTTTTGAAAGACGATATCATGGGCTAGGTATGCAACAGGGGAAGCAGGAGACACGAGTTTTGTTTAAATGTTATTTTAAATATTTAATATTTTTAAAAATTAGAAAGTAAAGCAGTGTGAATACTATTTTGGAGATAGTACAGAAAAGATGAATCAGTTGAGTTTTCACATAGCAGTGACAAGCATGAAATGAGGCAGAAATATGGATGAATATTCATACTATGGAGACATGGGCTGCTGCAGCTTCCAGACAAGAGACAGCAAGAATCTGGACTAAGGAATGGGCAAAGCAATGAGACTGGACTTAGGAACAAATTCTTAGTGACAAGGAAAACAGTAAGACTGACAAAAGTTTATAATTTGAAGACCTGAGTGCATGATGCTGTCATAATCAATATAGAAAAACTGAGTTGGGATTAACACGCTGGAGATAGTGAGTTTTGAAAAAGAAGCAGTTAAAAAGACTAGGGGACAAGGTGGAACTGTCTCAATGTTTTGAGAGTTGAGATATAGATTAAAAAACTATAACTAGTTGATGCTAAAAGTAAAAACTGCCAGGAGCAGTGAGTGGCGCATGCCTATAATCTAAGCAGCTTGGGAGGCTGAGGCAGGAGGATTTAGAGTTCAAAGTCAGCCTCAGCAAAAGCGAGGCACTAAGCAACTCAGTGAGACCCTGTTTCTATGAAAAAGGGGTTGGGGATGTGGCTAAGTGGCTGAGTGCCCCTGGGTTCAATCCCCAGTACCAAAAATACAAAATAAAATAAAAATTTTAGCAAGTTACTTTGTGGACATCAATCCACTAATTTTAAATTTAATATGGAAAGGCAAAAATCTAGACCAAACAACATCTTTGACAATGGAGCAAAACCAATCCAACAGAAAAATAATACTATTTACAACATAGAATGCTGGAACAATTAGACACTTTCACAAAATTAGCTCAAAGTCAATCACAGGTCTTTTGTAAAATGCAAAAGTATAAAATTTCCAGAAGATACCACGGAGAAAATCTAGGTACCTGGGTTTCACAATGAGATTTTAGACTCAACAAATGCATGYTCCATGATTAAAAAAAAAGTACATTTAACTATCAAAATCTAAAATTTTGGATCTGTGAAAAACACTATTAAGAGAACGAAGACAAGCCACAAACTGGGAGAAAATATTTGCAAAACATATTTCTGATAAAGGACCTGGACCCCAAATATAAAACTCTTAAAAACACAAAAATAACAAACCAACCGAATAAAAAAACAGGCAAAAGATTTCCACACCTCACCAAAGATTTAGATGGCAAATAAGCACATATACTTATTAGGGAATTGCAAATCAAAATAAGATACCCACTATATACTTAGAAGAATCCATTAAAAAAATAGCAAGGGCAGGGTTTGTGGCTCAGTGGTAGAGCGCTTGCCTCACATATATGAGGCACTGGGTTCAATCTTCAGCACCACATGAAATTAAATAAAATAAAGGTATTGTGTTCTTATATAACTAAAAAAATTTTAAAAAATGATAACAAGTTTGTGGAGCAAGAGGAACTCACATTGACGGCCAGTGTGAGTGCAAAATGCTATAGTCGCTTTGGGAGAGGTGGTTTTGCAGTTTCTCATAAAGCTATAATATCTAATTACACAATCATGCTCATAGGTATTTACCCAACTGACCTGAAAACATGTTCACACAAAACYCACACACAAATGTTTACAGCATTTATTCATAATTGTCAAAACCTGAAGGACATCAATATGTGACTGAATTGATAACCGAACTCTGGTACATCTGCACAGTGAAGTATTAGTAATAAGAATAAATGAGCTACCAAGCCATAGAGAMAGGGAGAGACCTTAAGTGCATATTTACTATATGAAAGAAGACAATCTACAAAAAGCTGTATATTGTGCTAGAAATGACCACAGCAACAGTAAAGAGATCAGTGATTACCAGGGTTTTGAGGACAGGGGAGGAGGAATTTTTAGGGCAGTGAAACTGTTCTGCATGATAGTGTAATAGCAAATATATGTCATTGTGCACTTGTCAAAACCCATTGGTCTGTTTAAGAGAAAGAATGAACCTTAATGAAACTATAGGTTCAGTTAATAATAGTATCAATAATGGTTTGTTAATTGTAGCACTTATACCACTATAAGATATTAGCAGTATGGGAAACTCTTCAGAGTGGTAGATGGGTACATAAAATTTCCATACTAAATGTTCAACTTTCTTACATATCTAAAACTCTACTAAAAAAAAAATGATGTTTTATCAATAGTTATTTTTAAATGCAGGTATGAAATGATATGTGTTCTATGGTCTCATTCTTGTGATTGTGTTTATGTGCATAAAAATAAATATGGAAGGTCAAAACCAAACAATTTGTTTTAAAAGTCTTGACTTATCCACCATAATACTAGTATTACTCATTCATAAAGAAAAGAGGAAGCAGACTATATGTAAAATAGGAGGTTTTACACATTTAGTATGAGAATGGATATACTAAAAGATTAAAAACTGAAAAATACTGACAAAGTCTGACAGAGTACAGACTAGGGACATAACAATTGTTCTATTAACAATGTTGCTCATAATGGCATCTGAAAAGTAATACCATTTTGGCTGGCTTTCTTTTTTCAGTATAACGACTTTTTCACTCCAAACACTTAAATTTATGGGCTGTTGCAAATGACATTTGGATATTATGGTTTTAGGCAGACATTTCAATTTAACTGACACAAGTTTCTCATTAGAGAATACTGTATGGAACAAATTTGAACTCCATGCCACATTTGGATGAATACACTATTTTCGTTTTCCTAAGTATTCCAAGTGAAAGGAATGAAGAGGAAACATTTCTGTAATCCGTTATACTGTGCACATGCTATGATTTCATGTGTCTTGAAACAATCTCATATTTAGCCTTCATTTAGCTCTAAAGATGACTTTTATGTTTTTTTTATTTTGTTTTTTACCATCAAAATAGCCATGAACTATTTTGAGGGAATGGCTTGATTTACTGAATTTTGTGCTAAGAAGATTTTGCACTGAGAGGACAAGTTCTGAGTTACTGCATCATGTTCTGAGAAAGCCTCAGGAGATTATTTGTGAAACTTGAAATATATCAAATACACTGGATGGAGAATCATATCAGGCAGGATCACCAGTGGCTACTATAATCATATAGCATTGTTAGATAACCTGAACACAACAGAGGAGGGAATCATGACTGGCTCATTGTTCAATGAAATTGCAATTTGAGACTTTTTAAAAAAAAAACATATAATGATTTATGTTACAAAAATTAAGAGCAGCATTAACTAATTCTCCAGGGAAAATATGAAGTGTGTCTAATTCTAAAACAGAATGCCAGTGTAAAAGTCCATCACCAACTCTACACCAAGAAGTAGTACCTCACACTTCAACCCTCACCCAGAATCTTATCCTCTTGGCAGATATGATAACCTCCTTACACCTTTGGGGACAAGGGTATTGGATGATGAACCCAGAGGTGCTTTATCACTGAGCTAGATCCCTAGCCCTTTTTCTTTCATTTTTAAGACAGGGTTTCATTAAATTACTTAAAGACTTGCTAAGTTGCTGGTGCTGGCCTCGTGTTTATGATCCTCCTGCCTCAGCCTCCTCGAATCATTGGAACTAAAGTCATGTGCCACCATGACCAGTTTGAAGCACTGATGTTTGATGAAGAGTCATAATCTACCTGTTAAACCAACATTCGCAAAGGTCAGGACTATGACCTTTATATGCTGATTGAAGTTCTAATTTAGGTTCCTCAAAGTAGTTGCCTCTGAGAGCCCTTATTTAAAGCAAACCTTTATTAAAATATTTTCAAATTATCTTGTAGTTGTTTTATTTTTTTTATTATTTTTTTTTTAAAGAGAGAGGGGAGAGAGAGAGAGAGAGAATTTTCAATATTTATTTTCTAGTTCTTGGCGGACACAACATTCTTGTTGGTATGTGGTGCTGAGGATCGAACCCGGGCCACACGCATGCCAGGMGAGCGCGCTACTGCTTGAGCCACATCCCCAGCCCTTGTAGTTGTTTTAATAAAAGTTATTTTTAAAATTTTGTCTAAACATATTGTTTCTGGGCTGGGGATGTAGTCCAGTTGGTAGAGTGCTTGCCTTGCATGTACAAAGCCCTGAGTTAAATCCCCAGAGCCACAAAAACAAACAGGGGCTAGGGTTGAGGCTCAGTAGTACAGCACTTGCCTAGCATGGGTTCAAGTCTCAGCACCACATATAAGAAAATAAACAAATAAAGATCGATCAATAACTAACAAAAATATTAAAAAACAAACAAAAAAACATATTGTTTTAACTTCACAGCCCTTTATATTGTTTTGATACAGAATCCTGCCTCAGCCTCCAGAGTCACTACATTACAGGTGTAGTCCACTGCACTGAGCTCTTTCCACTTTTTGTGTGTTGTGTATGTGGTGCTGGAGATTGAACCCAAGGCCTGGTGCCTGCAAGGCAAGCATTCTATCAACTGAGCTAAATCTCCAGCGCCTCTCCACTTTTTAAAGAATGTGAACACTGCTTAAGTTTCTAAAAATACCGACAAGATTACATTAATGAACAGCAAGATAGGAAGAAAAAGAGTTGATGTTTGCCCAGCACTACAGCACACCAAAAACAGTCACGCCAGGAACCTCAATGGGTGATATTCCTTTTGTTTGCCACTACATTTTAGCACTTTCCACGGTGCCAACTGATGTAGGGTAGGCACTCCACAAATATTTGCTTAGCAGTTAATAAATGGGAAAATCTATACAACTGAGAATTTAATTACTGTGACTTAATTCCCTTGAATGTTCTTTTTCAGAACAGAAGAAAAATCCAACTTCTGAGGCTAATCCACCAAAAATTTTATGTAGATAATTCATACTATACTGAACTTACTCATTATCCTGAAACTCTTGTATATTGCTATAAACTCTTGGTTTAATGAAAAGACCAATCTCTCTCAATCAATGCTTAATAGACTCTTCTCATAAATTAGGATACAAAAATCTAGTTAAGTGCTGTAGCTCCTTAGAGATTCACCATACTATAAAACAAGGGAATTACTAGGACACAGCCTGTAGCTAATAATCCCCTCAGCACTTTGTATAAAATTGCCTAGCTTCAAAACATTTCATACCATTATACAATGCCAACCATATAACAATTTTTATCATCTATTACTAGGCCTTCTGATTTGTATTTTTCACCCTAGAGAATTTTAAAAATTGTCCAAACATACAGCACCTTTTATGGAGATTCCTTGGAAAACTTGGAATGGAACCATTTGACCCAGCTATCCCACTCCTCTGTTTATACCCAAAGGACTTAAAAACAGCATACTACAGCAATGCAACCACATCAATATTTATAGCCACAATTCAAAATAGCTAAATTGTGGAAAAAATCTAGATGCCCTTCAGTAGATGAACAGATAAAGAAACTGGTATACATCCACAATGGAATATTACTCAGCATTAAAAGAGAATAAAATCATGGCATTTGCAGGTAAATGGATGGAGTTGGAGAGTATCATGCTAAGTAAGCCAATCCCCAAAAAAACCAAAGGCCCAATGTTTTCTCTGATAAGTGGATRCTGATCCATAATGGGGTTGTGGCAGGGGGAGCATGGGATAAATGGAGGAACTTTGCATAGGGCAAAGAGGAGAGAGGGGATGGTAGGGGGAATGGAGGTAGGAAAGATGGTGGAATGAGATGAACATCATTATCCTAGGTACATGTATGAAGACACGAATGATGTGACTCTACTTTGTGTACAACCAGAGAAATGTAAATTTGTGCTCCATATGTGTACTATGAAATTGAAATGCATTCTGTCATGTATAACAAATTAGAATTTTAAAAATGAATAAAGATATTTGTAATTACACACACACACACACACACACACACACACACACACAATCGCCTCCTCTCAGGACCTTTGGACAATTTCATGACCTTGCAGGTTAATGCTTCGACATAATCTTTTGAAGGTGGTGCTATATATCTTTCCCTACTTCGTCAATAGTCAGATCTTTAAAGTCTCTTATGCACCAAGACGCCCATCTGCCACGACAGCACTAATTTTTTTTCACCTTCGTTTCTTCAGTACCTAGCAAAGCGCCAGCTACACTGTGGGTGCTCACTGAGACGATAGCTCTCCAAGGGTCACTCTGCCCAGCACTGGAGTCTTTGAACACGCGTCAAGGACATAAAGCACAACGCAACCTTGCCCGAGGCTTTTCCTAGGGTCCTCCCTTCACCTAGTGGACCCTGCCAACAGCTTCCCGAGACTCTGCGCCTCGTTTGTAACAGAAGCTGGATATTTATGAGCTGAATGAATTCCAGGTCGCCCCGTCATTAATTCGGACTAAGGTCTCAGTCCCGAGGTCCCAGATGACCCTTCCAGCCTCAGGGGACGTGGCGTGACCTTGCTCCCTTTGACCCACCTCCAGCCTTCGCGCGCGCCATCCCCGCTTCGGAGCAGCTTCCTGCTGCCCGAGCTGCGAGACTTCTGCAGAAYCCAGGGCCTAACTGGGCCCAGCGGCCCCAGGTCGGTCCTACGCACCCCACCTGCGCTCCACCTCCATCCCATTTGACCGAGTTCTTCCCTCCCTCCAATATTCGCAGTCCTCCCGCAATCTGCCATACCATTGCGACTGCAAGGCGCGGCCAGACAGCCCAGCGACGCTCGCCCGAGACAACATGGTGGTACCGGCCTTGCTTGAAGGTCGGGCAGACAGGCCTTACTGCGCACGCGCGGAAGCTTCCCCACGCGCCCTGCCCACTCCGTTTGGTCCTTCAGTCTCGCTTCCTCGCTCCAGAAAGAGGAGTCTCGCGAGCGTTGGGGGCCGGTCCTCCCAGGCTCCACCTATTTTCGACTGTCAGCTTTGCCCCGCCTACTCCATCCAGCCCAGTTCCGCTTCCGGTTGGACGGATTCTGTGCTCCAAAAAGTGGTTGCTGCGGTGGTCACGATGGGGAAGTCAGATTTTCTTACCCCCAAAGCCATCGCCAACCGGATCAAATCCAAAGGACTTCAGAAGCTGCGTTGGTATTGCCAGATGTGCCAGAAGCAGTGCCGGGACGAGGTAAGTGGGCCTGGTATGGCTCCGTATTCCCCAGAGGGCCCCGCTGAATATCCAGGTTCAAGTTCAGACGCCGATGAGAGCACAGGGCTCGGGTTCCCGGCTGCGAGGCTTTTGGGGTCTGCACTGGGCTAGTCAACTCAGCCCAGGAGAGCTGCTCTTCCATGCAGTCTCCAGACCTAGCGGGGCACCAGTGGTCTTTGACACCTCATTCCTCCCCATTCTGCACCCTCCCCCTCCCCCAAAAGAAATTAAATCCACTGATTTTGCGGTTCTTGAAGGGGCGTGGATAATGAATGCAGTGCAGGACGTCCGGGCGATAACAGTAATAATAACCATCTCTGACTTGGCTCTCAAACAGGACAATTAGGATTTACACTTCTTTGTGATTCAAAGGAAATAAGGAAAACAAAGCTCTTTCTCACAATTCATCTAACAAGCATTTATTAAACACCTAAATGAACTAGGACCAGATATCAAAATTATGAAGTCAGACAGCATTACTTACTAGCATATTCTCTTGGACAAGCCACTTATCATTCTCTATACCTCTTTATTCCTCCGTAAAGTGGGAATAATAACTGTTCCTACTTGTAAGATTGTTGTTGAGTTTAAATAAGTGAATTGTAGGTAAAGTGGCTAAAGAGAATCACAGAGATCTTGAAAAGTCTTGTATATTGTGCTACAGAGTTTATGCTTTCCCCCATATTGAGGTGGATGGTGGGGGTCCACTGAAGAATTGAGAGCAGCTAATGGTGTGACATTTTTCTTTGGAGATCAGATTAGAAGGGAATGAAAGAACACTGAGGCAACAGGAATAATCTGATCCAGGGCTTCTGAGAGGGATAAGATAGTTTAAGTAGGCCTCATAGAATGACATTGATAGTTATTTCATTTCCATTTCCTTCTTTCTATGTAAGTGAAGGTGAAATTCTCACACAGAAAACTAGGGACTAGTACAACGAATATCCTTATATCCATACCCAGTGTCTTAGTCTTCTTGGGCTATTATAATAGAATGCAATAGACTGAGTGCTTTAAACAATAGAAATATGTTTCTCACAGTTCTGGRGGCTGGGAAGTTCAAGATCAGGAGGCTGGAATGGTTGCAGTTCTAGTAAGAGCTGTGTTCCTGTTTAGTAAACAGCAGTCTTCCCTCTGTATCTTTGGGCAGACAGGGCCAGCTCTAGGCTCTTATAAAGGAACTAATACCATCATGGGGCTTTACCCTCACTATCTAATCTAAATTTAAGGCCATCCTATTGGGGATTAGAGTTTCAATATATAAATTCTGGGGGACAACAAGTATACATTCTGTAACACACAAATGTAACAAAAGTGTTTTGCCACGTTTTCTTTTTTTGGAAATATTTTAAATTATAAACATCAGGGTATTTTACCTCTAATACTTAAATATATATCTCAAAATTTCAGGATGATTTTCTGTATAACCACAATATATGTCAATAAGTCACTAATGTGACAAAATTATTAAGAATCCCCATATATCATCTAATAACACATTTCATATTTTTTCAGTTGTCCTGTGTTTTTTAAAGCAATTTTTTCAAACTAAGGCCAAAAGTCATGAATAGGATTTGATTATTGGGACTTTTTGTTCTTTTTAATAGACCTTGATTTTTAGAGCAGTCTTAGCTTCACAGGAAAAAGCAACTGGACGGTACAGAGATTGCCCAGTACCTCTTCCTCCCACATGCAAGGCTGACCCCAACATCCTGCAGCAGAGTGGTGCACTTGTTATGATAGATGAACCTGCTTCAACATATTAATACCCAAAGTCCAGTTTACATTGTGGTTCATTCTTGATGTTGCATATTTTATGCTTGTTTTTTTTTTTTAACCTCCAACAGTCACACCATTCTATGATTTTGACAAGTGCATAATGACACATATCCACCAATAAAATATCTTACAAATTAGTTTCTAAAAATTGTACTGTGGGTTATCAGAATTTTTAATATATTTAATTTTAGTTATCCATGGGCACAATATCTTTATTTTGTTTATTATTTTTATGTGGCAATGAGGATTGAACCCAGTGCCTCACATATGTGAGGCAAGCACTTTCCCCCTGAGCCTCAACCCCAGCCCGCTTATTAGGATTTTTAATTCTCCAAATTTAATTTTAAAACTTTAGACTGGTGATAAGACTATTTTTTATGATTACCACTAAAAAGCAGATTTTTAGAGCTCAATGCAGTATGTCTATTTAGAGTCTATTTCGATGACCTAAATCAGAAGTTCACTACTGCTTTTGCATTTTTTGTAGAATGGCTTCAAGTGTCATTGTATGTCTGAATCTCATCAGAGACAGCTATTACTTGCTTCCGAAAATCCTCAGCAGTTTATGGATTATTTTTCAGAGTAAGTAACTCAAAGACATCCTTACCTCATAAGCTTATTCAGTTGAATACTTAATAGGTGCTTAGTATTTTATATATTGGAAGTCTGTTATTCCTTATATGTTAACATGATAGCTGTATTCTCTCTCTGCTCAGCTTTTAATTTTCTTTTTTGAAAATTTACCACAGTTTTCTCACAATTATTAGACTTTCCTTCCTTCCATTTTAAACATGAAACTACTTTCATTCTAACACATTTCTGACTAGAACGGTGCTATGCTCCCAGCTTCCTGACCTCAAGACCTTATCTACTTAGGAGCTGTGGAGGGYGGTGCCTCTGAATGTCTCTCAAGGTTTTCTAGCTTCAGTTTCCTTATCTGTTAAGATGACACTAACAATAGCACCCTCTTCCAAGTATTGTTTTCCCTTCATAAGGCTTATAGGAAAATAAGTGAGTTCATATTTCACATGCTCTCAAGAGTACTTGGTACTCAGTTAGGATTTGCTATTAATTATTATTATTCTATTAATACTTAGTCTTGCTTGTTTCCATATTCTTGTTTCCAAACTTCCTTTTGACCTGAAGACCCCTTTTACATGTTTAAAAATGATTGAAGGCCACATAGAGCTTTTGTTTATGTGGGTTTTATGTATCAACAGTTAGAAATTAAAACTGWGAAGACTGGGGCTGTATTCAGTGGTAGAGCATTTGSCAAGCTTGTGTGAGGGCCGAGGTTCAAGTCCATGCACTGCAAAAAAGGGGGGGAAAAAAGGAGGAGGAGGAAAGAAAGAAAACTTAAAACTGAGAAATTTTAAAATACTATTTTTAGTTCATTTAAAAATAGCAACATACTTATTAAATGTTAAATAACATTTTAAAATGAAAGAGTATATTTTCCAAATAAAAAGCATTAATGTTTTGTTTTTGCAAACAATGTTGACTTAATAGAAGGCAGTTGGGTTCTCACATCTCCTTCTGCATTTAGTCTGTCATGAATGTTTTGTTTGAAGCACATGAATATCCAGTATTTACATAAATGTATAATTAGAAGGGGAGAAATATTTTAGTAATCTTTTTAGATAATTTTAGATATTCTTCTTAGATACTACATCAATTAAAATATGTGGCAGTTTCTTAAAGCTTAGTAATAATGTAGACTCTGAGATTAGTGAAGTTTTTGTACTGTTAAATTAAAATTAATTGATTTATCTTTTGTGTGGATCTTATGTCTGTGCATGATTTTGTAACATGTGTTAGACATTTGAAAAGTATCAGTTTACTACATGACACAGATCTTGCAAATCATGGCATATTATATTCTGTAATGTCATCAAATCATATTAACCCATTTGTCCCATTGTCCCAGATGCTGAATACCTATCAAAACTTAAATTGATCAACAAATATACTACTTGTAATAACTTTAAAGTCGATAAATATACCACTTGTGATAACTTTCAAATAATTATTATTTTTGTTTTTCAAATAATTTATTATGTTTTGTTCATAGATGAATGATTAGAACATTTGAGAAAAAAAATATATACACATACACATGCATATATATACACATATGTTCTCGATTCTGATTTCCAACTTATTTTAATACACCTGTGTCAATTGTGTTGAAATATTTGCAGAATTGGAAACTTGGGACTTCTTGGGTTAATATCAACATTGATGTCACCAGAACATCCCTAAGTGTCAGGAAGCATGTCAAGCCCACAGCAGCAGGTACTAATTCACCAAAATTCTACTTGTTGCTTGAAAGGTCAAATTTCATTATTGGCCACAAATACTATCAGTTCTTTTCCTCCACATGACAGGTTCACTTTGTGTATATTTAAGAAAATGTATTCCAAAGTTCCAATTTGGAATAGTGATACTTTACATGTCAGGGTTCTTTCAAGAAAAAATAATGTCCTGTGAAAAAGTGTTTCACCTCATAGCTCTAAAACCATATGAGAGAGTTGAGATTTAATACATCTAATAAATTTTACTGTTTCCTCCAAGACATAGTAGATGAAACTCGCCCTGGTTTTAACTGTGAGCTCATGATGTGAAGAATACACTGGCTGCTAGTGTGGTTTGACATCACTGCCCCCCTGCCTGGCTTGAGTGCTAAGTTGCTAGCAGGTTTTTCCTCCATTGCTTGTATGCCATCAGTGCAAATAACATAGTCACAAAGGCAAAATTGCTGTTCTGTGAGTTACCTAAAACTATCTTGAACATGGCCAGGACAAGTGCTACACTTTGGGAAACGCCCTCCTGGCAAGAGCGGTCTACATTGGCTGTTCTGCTGTCTGCTGTGGCTCACTTGTGCCTCTTGAGTCTCCTGAAGAGTTGCTTGTGCCTTTTCTCATCGTTATCTTCCTCGATCTTTCTTCAGTACTTATAATTCTTCATTAAAACCTTTGTTCTGGGGCTGGGGATGTGGCTCAAGTGGTAGCACKCTGACCTGGTATGCCCAAGGAACTGAGTTCGATCCTCAGCACCACATAAAAATAAAGATATTGTGTCCACCAAAAGCCTTTAGTACTTTTTTCCTTCAGTATCTACTCTTTTCCTCTCAGCTCTGCAAATGCAGGAAAGTTCTTCAAGGTGCCCTTTGACTTTCACACTCAATTCAGTCAATAGTCTCCATGAGTCACCTTATTCTTTTTAACTGTTATTTTTATATTTAGATGCCTCCCAAATCTTGAAGTTCATTMCTAACATCTGTCTCAATTTACAGATTTTTTTCCCCCTTGATAACTCTAATTTTTATTTCTGAAGGCTGTCTCAGTCAGAGTCAGGTTTTTGTTTTTGTTTTTTTGTGGTGCTGGAGATTGAACCCAAGGCCGTGTACATGGAAGGCAAGCACTCTACCAAAGGAGCTAATCCCCAGTCCCAGAGGCAGCATTTTTAAAACTGAACTCACTATCCTGTGTATCAAACCTGCCTTCTGATCTGTTTTGACCAGTTGCTATTTGCTTAGAGTTCCAAACTGTAAACCTCAAGTTCTGTTGGAATCCCTACTTGTCAATTCTTCTACACAATATCCTTGAATTTTAGTAGTATTTCTTAGCATCTCTCACCTGAATATTTTCAGTGACTTGCTCACTAATCTCCCAACCTTTAGCTCTTGTGTGTGTATGTGTGTGTAGGGCAGGTTGGTACTAGGGATTGAATGCCACTGGGCTATACCCACAGATCTTTTCAAATTTTATTTTGAAACTAGGTCTCACTAAATTGCCCAGGCTGAGCTCAAACTTAACAATCCTCTTGCTTCAGCCTCCCAAGTAGCTGGAATTATAGACATGCACTACCTCACCCAGCTAACTAACCTTCAACTATGACCTCTCCTGTACCTGTTTTATACCAGTGGTTCTCAGACCACTGTGTGTATCAGAGTCAGCTGGTGGGCTTAACAGAATGGCACACCCAACTTCTGATTAAGTAGATCTGGAATGGGCTAGAGATTTTGCATTTTTATCTAGTTCTCAGGTGATGGTAATGGTAATGCTGATGGTTTGGGGAGCCTCATTTGAGAATTTTTGTTCTCTACTATTCACCACAATTATCTTTGTAGATTTTAACAATATACTTCCCAAACTAAATTATTTAGTACTTTTCTAATGCCTGCATAAAACTTGATCTATTTAGCGTGACATTCAAGGTACTTAAAAAAATTAGTCCAAACAACTAATTTTCTTAAAATTAATTTTAACCTTATTAGTATTATTATTATTCACCTCCCCTTATTCTATTCTACCTCCAGTCTCATCCTCATTTTTCTCTGCCTTAAAATTTACCTAAAGTAGCATAAGTGTCATCTCTCAAACGTGATGTTTTTATAGCTCTCTGCTAGCTGTAAATGACCTCCTTTTTACCTATGAAAGTCCATTTATACATTTATATTTCACTGTTCATATTAAAATCACCTCTGGGCATCTCCTTCAGTTCGTTTATTTATTTATTTATTTATTTATTTATTTATTTATTTATTTATTTATTTATTTGTAAAATTTAACTCAGGGCACTCAACCATGGAGCCACATCCCCAGCCCTATTTTCATTTTATATAGAGACAGAGTCTCACTGAGTTGCTTAGCACCTTGCCATTGCTGAGGCTGGCTTTGAACTCTCCATCCTTCTGCCTCAGCCTCCCAAATCTCTGGGATTGTATGCAGGTGTGACACCCTGCCCTTTTTTTATGATATTTCATTCCATTTACTTTTTTAGTTTAACTTTGGTTATGATTGTTATGCTAAATTGTAAACTCCTTAAAGATCAAAATTTGTATTTTGTTCACTTGTGTTTTCCTAGCACTTAATACAGTGTACCTACTTAAATGGGACCTGCTAAGTGTCAATTTCATCTGGAATAAAGGCGTTTTTGTTATGATAAATAAAATGGGGATATAATACCACATTTAGTAGCACTAGGAGACTTTGTAAAGGACCCTCTCCAAAGATATGTGGTAACTTTTCCTATGGTTGCTTTACCAAAACAACATTTTAACTCCAAACTGACTTTTAACTTTGATCCTTGAAAGCTCTATCTTTTGGAGTTCCTTCTTTGTTCAGCTTGTAAAAGATTCTAACAGATAGTCTGAACATTAAAAGTGTATGATTGCTTAAATGTCAGGAAGATATGCTATATATTTAYAGAAAGTACCTTAATATTTTCCTTTCTTTCTTAACCAGGGAATTCCGAAATGACTTTCTAGAACTTCTCAGAAGACGCTTTGGTAAACATCTTAAGTRTTATGTAAATAATAGCTTTATAATCTTATAAACTTCTTAGGATCAACAGTGTTATCTTTTGTTCTCAGGCACTAAGAGAGTCCACAACAACATTGTCTACAATGAATACATCAGCCACCGAGAGCACATCCACATGAATGCCACTCAGTGGGAAACACTGACTGATTTTACCAAGTGGCTGGGCAGAGAAGGTGAGAAGAAGAGGTTATTTACATTGTTATTATGACATCACTGACTAGAGAGAAAGAATTATCATTTTCTCTCCAAATTCATGGCAAAGAGGATGTATGAGGCAATTTGAAAACTGGAGGAGAGGAGTATACTATTCTAGGATAGGTTTTGTTTATTATAGTTGAATACTAACATCTAGACTAAGTTCATTTGACAGTGCTAAGATTTGTCACTGAAGGTGATTTTTTAAAATTTGCTTTTCTTTTTTTGGCGAATGGGGGTAGTGGGGCCTGAACCCATGGGTGCTTAAACACTGAGCTCAATCTCCAGCCCTCCACCACCCCCCCCCCCCTTTTCTTTTTTTAAATTTTGAGAGAGGGTCTAGCTAAGTTGCTTAGGGCCTCACTAAGTTGCTAAGGCTGGTCTTGAATTTGTGATCCTCCTGCCTCAGCCTCGAGAGCCTCTGGGATTACAGGCGTGCATTACTGCACCCGACTAATTTGCTTTTTTTTTTTTTTTTTTTTAGGAAGGAAAGAGAAAAAGATTTTATAGCATCAAGTTGCTTATTCAGTGTGTTATTTTTACAGAGAATCATATATTTTTGAATATTAGATTCTTAGATATCGCTGAATAATTTTCATGCAAAATAATACTTTTTTCATATGTTTCCCTTGTTTACATATTTTGMTTCATTGTAGCTATATAAAAATCAAAATAATAGTTTTTTTCTATTTAAAGAGATAAAAGATTCCACTTATATCTGAATTTCATTAAGTGAAAATATGAAAAATTCATATGCTTCATGAATTTCTGTATTTTAATGTGTATGAATGTATTTGAATGATTGAGTAAATATGCAGAGAAGAAACACATTTATATTTACATTTTGCTTGATTACATGCAAATTTATGGTGTTGGTTGTTTTTTTTAAGGCTTGTGCAAAGTGGATGAGACACCAAAAGGCTGGTATATTCAGTATATAGATAGAGACCCCGAAACTATCCGCCGCCAACTGGAACTAGAGAAAAAGAAGAAGCAAGACCTCGATGATGAGGAAAAAACTGCCAAATTTATTGAAGAACAAGTGAGAAGAGGTCTAGAAGGAAAAGAACAGGTGACCAACAGTATCATCCAGAGAGGCGATGTAAAAAATCTAAAAACGTAAAATGGCTTGTTTTCTCAAACAGCAAATTAAGATTTTTAGGTGGTGTTTCTTAGTTACGGGAGAAAGAGCATGATGGGGTGTAAAAGCACAGGCATTGGAGTTGAGAGAAATCTCAGTGTATTCCTTCCTAACTTCATGATCTTGAGTAATCATAGAATCTGTAAACCTCAGTCTCCTTATGCCTAAAATTGAAATAGTACCTAACGGGAAGACATGTAAATAGATCATTTCAGCTAAAAATTATAACTGTGTGATTAATGCACTGCTGGAGATAAACACAGCATGAGGATGGACTCTTATTCCATTCCCAAAAGGGCAAAGAATGTTTGAAGGTGGATAGAAACCCTGAGCTGAGGGGTTTCAAAGAATCAGTGGGGAAAGCCAGTGAACGGGCAAGGAAGGTAAAGGGAAGGGGTCCAGGTGTTAGGATCACTAGATCAAGGTACTTACTTCAACAAACATTTGTGGGTGCCTCCTGAGTGACTTTTAAAATTCAAACATACTGTTGTGATTTCCTTCATGTTCTTTCTATCAGTGTTTCATTCTTTTAATGAATTTTTAAAATTATAAAAGCACAAAATTGTATTAATGGGTGCCATGTGATGTTTTAATACATGGATACATTGTATAATCGGGTTAAACATGTCCCTAAATTATTATTATTTAATAAGATATAGTAGCCCATTTTACGATCATAACACTGTTATTCTGCTGAGGAACATTTGACATATTTAAATTTCAGGCTATTTTGAAGAGTAGCTCAGTGGTTAAAGTATGAGCATTACCTGAAAAGTAATGCAGGAAGTTGCAGGCCATAGAACTTAAGACATTGATAAGGACCAGTATTATGGATCAGCATTTTTTTTTCTTTTTTGTACTTGGACCCAGGGACACTTAACCACTGAGCTACGTCCCCAGCCCTTTTTTATTTTGAGACAGGGTCTCATTAAGTTGCTTAGGGCCTTCCTAAATTGCTGAAGCTGGCTTTGAACTTTCAGTACTTCTGCCTTAGCCTTACAAGCCTCTGGGATTACAAGCATGTGCCACTGTGCTCAATTTCTTTATTTTTTAATTTCTTTCATCTTTTTATAATTTAAACCTCAGTTTGCAGTAGAAAAAATAAAATTTCATATTGTGAAAATTAATAAGAATCACATCTTCTTGTCCAGAGGAAAGTAAGAAAAATAGTTTAGTTTTTAGAATAATATTATTGTTTGTTAGCATTTTGGTTTAATACTGCTAAAACCTTCAAGTTATTTGTTCTTTTCAGATACAAATAGTATTTTATCTTAAAAGGCAGGAGAAATTCTACTGATCAGCCCATCCTCATTATATAAGAAAGCCCATCCTCATTTTATAGGGAAGATTTTAAAAATGTTCTTTTGCCTCACTATGTGAAAGCTTATGTGAGYACTACCTGAGAAAAGAATATTTTAGCTAGATCTCAAAAATGTCTTCTTTTTATTAGTAAAATCAATAATTAATATTTATGGCACACTTACAGTGGCAAGCACTGTGCTGTTTTTTTTTTTTTTCCATATTATCCTATTTAACACTTCTAATAACACTTAATGTGCATTCTCTGTTTTAAAGATAGAAGAGCTAAGGCTTAGGAAAGGTGATGAGACTGACAAGAGGTTACAAAGCTGATAGGTTACAGAGGAGAATTCGATACACAGTTTTGTTTGTTTAATGTAAGGCTCTTAATCGTTACATTAAGCTACCACACAATATAGAAAGGTTTTGCTTTTCAAAGTAATCCTCTAGTTCATGTTCCTAAAGTTTATTGCCTCACATTTCTGTTATATTCTGTGTAGATTATTATGGAAATAAAAATATAGGTAGCTTGGTACAGAAGTCTACTTTTTTAGAATTATAATCTAAGAGTTTTATCTTTGAGCTGTTTGTACCATAGGTAGCAAGTCATGGTGTAAGCTATTGAATATTTATAGTAAATGCACTCTAAATTATTTCTCTCTCTCTCTCTCTCTCTCTCTTTCAAGGAGGTCCCTGTTTTTACAGAATTAAGCAGAGAAAATGATGAAGAAAAAGGTAGTTTTAACTTTTCTTTCTTCTTTGTTAACCATGGATTCTTTTGTACTGACTTTGCTAAAAGTAACATGTCTTGGGCTGGGGTTGTAGCTCAGTGGTAGAGCACTTGCCTCACACAGATGAGGCCCTGGGTTCAATCCCCAGCACCACTTAAAAACAAACAAATAAAAATAAAGATATTTTATCCATCTACAGCTAAAAAAACATATTTTTTAAAAAGTAACATGTCTGTGAACAAGACATTTGATTTGTCAGGGTTGCGTTGTTCTTGTCTATAAAATGAAAAGGTTATATGCTATGAATTGGATAGGATGCCTTCAGTCAACAGTAACAAAATTGAATAAAATAAGCTTAAACAATAAGGAGATATCTTTCCATGATAAGAATCTCAGTGGTGATGATTCTGCATGCCATTCGAACACACAAAGTAGCTGCCAGCATTCYAGTCATCACATCCAGACCTGGCATTTTCTAAAGGATGACAGAGAATCTCTTCTGGAGTTCCCTTAGGAGTAAGGAAACTTCCTAGAAGCCCACCAGTGAACTTCCTTTTGAATATTGCTGGCCAGAATTAAAAGTAGTCCAGAGGGAATTGTACTGACTGGTTTAGACCAACAGAATTTACTCTAGAGCTGCAGATAGTGTTCTGTCCCTAGAACCATGGCCAAGAGATATGACACTCAAAGTTGGGGTGCTATGAGCAAGGAAAAGGAGGGTTGGGGGATGGAATGTCACAGCAGCCAGCGTCAATTGCCACAGCAACGTGGCATGTAAGGTCCTTCCCATCTCTACAAGCATCATGTAGGACAAGCATCATTTTCTGGAGAGGAACATTTTAGCTTCATTTATTAGCATGTTCATGATTTCTTATGTGAACGCCTGTGGAATCTTGTCTGAAAACTTGTATTATAATTTTCCTGAACTCTACATACATATGTATATGAAATAACCTTTTTTTTTTTTCTTCTAGTCACATTTAACCTGAATAAAGGAGCATGTAGCTCAGCAGGAGCAACATCTTCCAAATCAGGGTGAGCTACAGTTACAGATCTGAACACTTTACAAGTTTCATGAAATATCATGTCGGTTACTACATTTTCAAGTATTGTGAGTCATGTTTTTTCTCATTGCAGTTTTCATTTTGGTTTGTTTATTATTTTTCAGCAGTTGTTCTTTTCTCATTTCCCTGTGATAAGATGATTCTTTTGTTTGAGAAAAGGCTCATTTCATTTTATTTTTGAATGTGATGGTGTCTTGCTGTGTTATTCACTCAGTTCAAGTGGTCTTGCTGCCTCAGCTTCCTGAGAGTCTGGAAYTAAAGGCCTGTGCCACTGTGCTGGACTAGGAAATGCTCATTTGGATAAAATGCTTCAATAGATAGATTTGTGGTTCTCTGTGAATCTTTCTCCGTTTTATGGTTCCTTCTGCTTTACTGTTTTTGTTTGTTTGTTTGCTTTTTGTTCTTTGTTTTTAAAGAGAGAGAATTTTTTTTTAATATTTATTTTTTAGTTTTCAGCGGACACAACATCTTTGTTTCTATGTGGTGCTGAGGATTGAACCCGAGCCGCATGCATGCCAGGCGAGCATGCTGCCGCTTGAGCCACATCCCCAGCCCTTCTGCTTTACTGTTGTACTGTATATTTTCCTACCCATTTCCCACAGTTTAAATGTAGACTGGGATGTACATTTTCTATTTTACTTGCTATAGTGTGATTTTCTGAAAATAGAGACTAAATTCTCAGTCTGTCTCCTTATTGCCCAGTGCAGTATAAGTTCCTAAAGAATAATGATATTTAAGAATAAAATAGTGGTAGGTTAATGGGCATACAGTTGCCATAGTAAACAGTAAGAGTATTCAAGGAGCTTGAAGCAGGGGGAAGTTGTTAAAGGCAACAATGAGGCAGATTGTATAAAATATATTGAAAATTGTGATTATAAAATATATTGAAATCTGTGATTGTATGGATTAATAGCAAAGGTGGCACCAATCCAAGGATTTGTAATCATTGGGCAGAGTTCCTTGTAGGAATTTTTTTTTTTTTTTTTTTTTGTATAAGGTTGCAATACCCTTTGTGCAAGATCATGATTCTAGAAGAGTTTTTTTGTGATAATTATTATCAGGAACCTTTTATAACCTCCCAGATTCATTCATTCATTCATTCGTAGATTTATTTATTTATTGGTGAGGGTTGACACATTGCCTCCATTTTGATTTTGATGACTTTCCACTTCACATTTCCTTTTATTATTTTTTATTCTGAGATATTGATGAATGTTATGGTTGTTCAACTGGCAATGAAATCCATCACTCTTGTTAGTTTCCTGTGGCTGTTGGAACAAACAGGGAGACTTGAAACAACAGAAGTGTGTCCATCTTTGGAGGTCAGAATTCTGGCATCTGCATTACTGTGCTGAAATCAATGTTTAGAGGATTGTAGAGAAGGCTCTAGAGAAGAACATAGTCCTTGCCTCTTTTAGTTTGTGGTGGCTGCTAGCCTTCCTTGGTTTGTGGTTGCACCCTTCTAGTCTTCAAGACCATATCTTCACACATCTCTTCTCGTTCTTAACATAACTTTTTCCTTTACAGATTAAGCCTCCCTGTGTATCCCTCTTAAAATAACAGGGGTAATTACACTTTAGGCCCACTCAGGTGGGATAATCTCTACATCATAAAATGTTTTACTTCATCTGATTTGCAAATATCCTTTTTTCTAAATAAGATAACATTTATATATTCCAGAGATAAGGACCTGATATCTTTGGGTGTCTATAGGCACCCTAATGTCAAGCCTTAATATTAGTAGGAAAAATGTTTTATTAAGTTCGGTAAATTGTTTGAATTATCTATATGAATATGTATATAGAGTTGCAGAAAGTACAATTAAAAGAACTCACCTAAACTTTTTTTCTCTGAAGTTATGCTTTGTGTTTATATGGGCAGAAATTTGTTTTTCTGCTGGCTTAAAACTGTTATATGTAAAACCTAGAATGAGCTGGGCATGGTGGTGCATGCCTGTTTCTCTGGAAAGAAAAAAAAAATACACACATAACTCAGAATTAGTCATTTTAACCTTTACTCGTGTGTGTGTGTGTGTGTGTGTGTGTGTGTGTGTGTGTGAGAGAGAGAGAGAGAGAGAGAGAGAGAGAGAGAGAGAGAGAGATAGTGAGGATTGAACCCAAGGGTGCCTTTCCACTGAGCTATGTCCCCAGGCCTCTTTACCTTGGTACAGGTTCACACTAAGTTGCTTAGGGCCTGCCTCCTTTAGTTGCTGAGGCTGTCCCTTAACCTGTGATCCTCTTTCCTCAACCTCCCTTGTTACTGGGATTATAGGTATGCATCACCACACCCAGCTCATTTTAACCATTTTAAGTATGCACTTCAATCACATTAAATAAATCCACACTTTTATACAACAATCACCACCATCTATCTCTAGAACTTTTGCATCATCCCAAATGAAGCCCATTAAACAATTCCCAAATCTACCTCTCTGCAGCCCTTGGTACCACCATTCCATTTTTCTTCTGTATGAATTTGACTGCTCTAGGTAATCCATATGAGTGGAATTATGCAATATTTTTTCTTTTGCATATGGTTATTTCACTTAGCATTGTGTCTTCAGAGTTTGTCCATATTGTAGCTAAGGTCAGAATTTCATTCCTTTTTAAGGCTTATATCTTGTTATAAGGATATTCTACATTTTGTTTATCTGTTTATCCAATGATGAACATTTGAATTATTTCCAACTTATGGCTATTATACATAATACTACTACGAACACTGGTGTATACAGACCTGTTTTGAGCTCCTGCTTTCAGTTGTTTTACATATAGGCACATTAAGTGAAATTGCTGGATCATATGGTCATTTARTTTTAGGGTTTTTTGTTTTGTTTTTGAGGCATTGCCCTATTGTTTTCCTACGACAGCCACAATATTTTAAATTTCTACCAGCAGTTTCTCCACATCCTTGCTAACACTTGTTATTTTCTGATTTTGTTTTGGCCATCCTCATGAGTGTGAAGTGGTATTTTGTTGTAATTTTGATTTCTATTTCCTGAATGATTAGTGACACTGAGCATCTTTTCATGTGCTTATTTGCCACATGTATATATTTGGGAAAAAGTCTATTCAAGTTTTTTGCTTATTTTTTCATTAAAATTGTGTTTAGTTTTAAAAAGAATACGTGACAACCATAAATAAAATAAAGTTTCCAAGCTGAGATCAAAATACTGAAGTAATTTCTGGATGCATCTGGAGAACTCATTATTGAGGAATTGTGGAAGCTGGGAGTAAGAAGGCAGAAAAATTGAGCAAATGTATTTTCAAAAACTAGAGAAAAATCTTTAGAAAACAATAGACTAACAAGCTTTTCTGACTGATTACAATAGGAAATAGGTGGTTGGTGAATGTTGAAGGAGAAAGTTGTTACTACCAGAGCCAAAAATAGCTACTTATTCCCAATTTTCTCTTTGCTAGCTTTCTTAGTTCCTATTTTATAGACATATTATAGTTGATTACAATCAGAATGAAGCCTAAATTCATTCTGGTTGAATTCATAGCTCAAGCAAGGTACATTTAAATCTAAAGAGTGTTTGAAGTAACAGGTTAAGTAATTTCTCTTTTTATGGACATGATCTTTTCAGAACTAATGCACATTATGTACAGCTGTCACAGACCTGGAAATCAGAATTTTAAAATATGTTCACTGGATTGAATTACAAGACAAACCCAGTAAGTGAAATTTTACAGAGGCAAATGTAAGCCTTACAGTTAAGTAAGGAGAAAACAATTTCTATAAAGACTGTGGAGGAGTCTTACACTATAATTTTCTAGAAAAGATGTAGGAATTTTAGTTGACTTCAAGCTGAATATGAGTCCTTAAAGTGTTCTGGCTTTCTAATAATTTTAATGTTGTTTTTAAAAGCATTTTTTAAAAAGCCCAAATAAAGGAAAGTAATAATTCTCTTGTATCCTCTATCAACCACACTTTTTCCCTTTTTTGTTTCCATGGTAGCTTTGTGTAATTATGACGCATTAAATGATGAGATTGGTAAGATTCATTTAGTTAGCAGATATTAAGTATCTTTTATGTGAGTTACAAGGTAGTTCTGTTACTTTAAAGCAGAAAAAATACAGTATAAGAGTGGCATCATAGAATACAACTGATTATATATAATGCAGGGTAGAGTGTGATTTGCTCCATTAAGTGCTAGGTCAGGTGAGAAAGCTGGAAGATTCAAGAACCCCCATGAAGAATTTTTAGAGATTATTTTAGGTATAAAATGAAGCATGTGCAAATTTTCAGTGACATGAAGCACAGAGCATGGCCCAGTTGCTAGCAAATTGATCAGAATGACTGATGTGCACATAAGAAGTCAAAGGATAGTTATTGAAGTGGTATTCTTTTGATAAGTGAATATTGGCAGTCAAGAATTTAAAATGTAGACTTAAACACTTAGGCAATTAGGAATAGTAAAAACTATTTAAGTGATATGTTGAAATTTTGCCCTTAAAAAAAACCTTGCTTTCAACAGTAATGTGCTAGACTTATGCTAATAGTGTCAAAACATCTCATTTAATCTTTGCAGTAGAGCAAGGACTTGGGTCCTATTATTATCCCCATGTATATATGTGGATCTGAGCCTTAAATTATTGAATTTTAAAGGTCCTAAGAGAAATACCCTCAAACCCTGATCTGCCCACCACTGAGGCCTGTACTGGCTCCACTTTGTAGTAGCACTAACTAAAAGGGCAAGAAAATAGTAGGGGGAGCTAAGACAGGACAGCATAAATGTTGTCATAATGCCAATAGTCGTGCACAAGATGCACATAGGCTCTTCATTGTTTTGACTGATCTCTAAATTAACCATGTAACATTTATTCTGTATTGTTGATCCTGCACAAAGAAAGCATTTTTTGGTATATAGTTTTTATGAACAAGCATGGTTCTTTTCTTCAGTTCTTTAGGACCAAGTGCACTCAAGACACTAGGGAGTACAGCTTCAGTGAAACGAAAAGAATCTTCCCAGAGCTCAGCTCAATCTAAAGAAAAGAAGAAGAAGAAATCTGCACTCGATGAAATCATGGAGGTACAGTTTATGAATTACTTATGGATGCTATAGCAATCAGAAGGAAGATGTAATTCAAGCCTAAGGAAAGTTAAATATGTCACCATTTATTAGAATAATATAAAATTTGAAAAACTTTCCATTCAGGGTTAGGGCAAAGAATCCTAGTTGCCATTCATCTGAACAGAGTTGGAACCCCATCTACCATGTTTATTTTCTTGCCTCAAGTGCAGTCTTTGAAACCCTCCATGCAGTGAGCACAGTAGAGTTCAGTTATAAGAGCTTTAGTAATAATCAAAACTGGGATCCTTTATGGATATTCTGCCTCCTCCAACTTGTACTCTCCTGTTGCCTCTGGCTTCCATTGTTTGCCTCCTTGATAGTAGGAGAAAGCTGTGATATGTTTGACATGCTTGATTTAACATGAGGGCTAAATTTATATGATGAATCATTTAAATCATAAATTTATATGATGAATCATGATCTTGAGAAATTTGCAGTAGGTTCTTAATGTATTCCTAAATATCCTTCTTCCTTTTTTACTCATGACCTTACCTTATCAATGAATTTATAAAACAAATGGAAGAGGAGAAGAGGAAGAATGGGAGGAAAGAATAATAAATAGATACAAGAAGCTTCACTTTTTTTCCTTTAATATTATTTCCTGTAGTCTTCCCATCTTTCATTTGCAAATGAAAAGGAGATAATTGTTTAGTCTTCTCTGCTACTAGCTCTCACACAGTACAGGGCAATCTAAAAAGCATAAAATATAATATGAACATACCATGAAATGTTATTCTACCATTTAGTAAATATTGAGTTGCTGTTATGTGCTGGACTTTATACAAAGTTCTGGGTCTGAATGATAGGGACAGAAATATGTCCTTATTTGTCATGGGACTTTCATTGTAGTGAGGGAGCCATTCAGTAAAGAAACAGACCTGTAAATACTAAGTGACTGAGTGCAGAGGAGGAATGAGGGTGAGGAGTGGGGAGAACACTTGTGAAAGTTTCCTACGGCAACAGAGATTTCAGCTCACATGGCTGGAGCATAGCAAGAGCATGGGTGGTACATTTTAGATTAGAGAAGTAGGGGCAACACTGCAGAGGTCACACATGCCATTGACAAGGAATTTTTGAATTTAGTTTAATTTAAAAGAAAATGGAAAGCCAGATCTACCTATTTTAAATACAATACATACTAAATTTAGAATGTTCTTTGTTCATATTTGACAATTGAAGATTTAAAATGAGGTTTAGAATCAACCAAAGAATTACAATTTTGGATCCCTTTGAAAGTTGGTCATAGGGTTAACTTTAAGCCACTGAGAAAGAAAAAGATGTACTGTGTAGCCATAAAGGTCACACGTCACCTTTTTCCTTTTGGTTGCTTTTTCTTTTATTTACATCTCTCTTGATGGTACTTTTCTTTCATTCATGAGTTTTATTATCACTCACACCAGAAGCCTCCTTTTTGCTGTTAGACTGCCTCCCTAACCATGCTGTGCAGGTTTGGTCTACGAGTTATTTTTGCCACATGACAAAACCACCTGTTCCAATTCATGACAGTCATTAGAGGACACCTGGAGAGGGTACTATAGTGCTTGCTGGAGGATGGCCTTGTAGTATTGACTAACTAGGGGTTGTTACTGAGTTTCTTAGTCACTTCACTTGCTTTATCACAAATCCAAGGTTTTTTAAAATTAAAAACTAGTTAGAAATAATGTTTATTTGTATTTATCAGAGCTTACATATTGTATCATTGGTCTTTGGTGCAATGTGGATTTTATGGTGATATTTTGCTAACTAGAATGGTATTTTGAAATAAATTGATGATTTTAAAGAGATAGTTTTATGGATGTCTTGTGTGTTCTGTAGATTGAAGAGGAAAAGAAACGAACAGCCCGAACAGATTACTGGCTACAGCCTGTAAGTATCAACTCTAGCTTCTTAACTTCCATGTTTACATGTAGTAGAATTATAAATATGGAAGTATTTGTTTTCAATTTATATCTTATGAAAATACTCATTTAGGTACTTTGTAGAAAAAAAGCAAGTTTTAATTTTACAAACTCAAGGAAGGTTTATATTTAATTGCTTACTAATTATTGCTTATTATTTTTGAATAATAATTTAAAGTAATTTAAATATTTTAAAAGTTTCTTCTTATTTATTGATGCTCTATTTTGAACTTACTGAGATGTAGAATTTTCCTAAAAGTTTCAGAGTACCATATTTATTCTTTTAGAAACTGGTTTGACCAATAATAGGGTAGTGAAAGTAAAGTATGACTTAGATTAATTTCTGATTTGAGAAAATATCCTTGAAAGTTGAGTTCAGAATTCTAATTCAAGTCTTCATACTCATTCTCTCACTGGCATGGAAATTACTTAACTTCTATGTTTTGTTTTTGTTTTTTGCTGTTTTGGGTACTGAGGATTGAACCTAGGGGTACTTTACCACTGAGCTCCATCTCCAACCCTCCCCCGCTTTTTTAATTTTTGAGACAGTATCATTAAATTGTTTAGGACCTCACTAAGTTGCTGAGGCTGGCTTTGAACTTGGGATCTTCCTTCGTCAGCTTCACAAATCAATGGGATTACAGGTGTGTGCCATCACACCCGTCAGGACTATATTTTTTAGATTTAGAAATGTATTGAACAGATCGGTATAAGCTAAGGGTAAAAAAAGTACAATAATTTAATGAATTGTCTTCAGATCACTAGAATATGATCCCATGAGGGCTTTTAAGAAATTTAACTTAGAAATATTATAGCTAAATCAGAAAAGATGTTTTGGCATTAATTGGCTTCATGTAGAAAGCCTTAGTAGAAGAGAGGCTTACGAATAAGACCATTCACGTTTTCTCTTAAACATGTCTTTCTACTATTAAATATTCTCCTCCTAAAGTYCTAACAAAATTTTGTCTATATAATTCTTACTATGGCTTTATGAMGTGTTTATGACCATCTATTTGTTACATTAACTTGAAGTAGGAAATGTAACATCACTGCAGTGAATATAGCAATCAGACAGTTTTTCTTTTTTAATATTTATTTTTTAGTTGTAGTTAAACACAATATCTTTATTTTATTTATTTATTTTTATGTGGTGCTGAGGATCGAACCCMGACCGTGCGTGAACATGCTAGGCAAGTGCTATACCGCTGAGCCACAACCTTAGCCCAGTTTAATTTTCATTATCAGCTTTTGAGCAGCTTATCCAAAGCACAAAAGAAGAATGATAAAGCAGTAAACTCAGAATTCATTAATATGAAGTGAGCTTGGATTTCTTTCCCATTTGAGATGAGATACTTAAAAGAAAGATACTCTTAGCTAGAGCTGAACTGAATAATGCTATGTATGTCAAAAAGTTCAAAGCAGGCCAATGCGGTGGTGCCTGCCTATAATCCAGCAACTTGAGAAGCTGAGGCARAAAGATCACAAGTTCAAGGCCAGCCTGGGCAATTTAGCAAGATCCTGACTCAGAATTAAATAAAAAGAGCTGATAGTGTAGCTCAATACTTGCCTAGCAGGTGCAAGGCCTTAGTTCTATCCTAGTACTGAAAAAAGAAGGAAAAAAAAGAGAGACTGACAGAGAAAGACAAAATGCTCATAGCAACCTAATGAGAAAAGAACATTGTGAAAGTTTCACGCATAATATCAATGACTCAGTTCCTTTCAATTCCTGGTAAGACTATTGAAATCTGTTTTTATCATCAGGGAATACCAACAATATAATATCCTCACTTTCACTGTTTTTATTGGAAAGAAAAGTGATCTACGAAAGATAAGAACTAATAGAATTTGAGATTTACAAATAAAAGTCCTAGATYTTAAGAAATCTTCACTGTGGAGATCAATGATTTTGTATATACTTTTTCCTCTTAGTAACCATGTTGGACAAAAAAGAGAAATAAGAATAAAAGATTACTAATGAAATATTCAGCCAGTGCTGGGAAGGATTATAACTCACTAATTTCTTCTTTTGTTTTTTTAACTAAGAAAAATAGAAAATAGAATTACTTTCTGTTATTGTTTTTATTTCTTTATGTATTTATTTTTTAGTTGTTGATGGACACAATACCTTTATTTTATTTATTTATTTTTATGTGGTGTTGAGGATTGAACCCAGAGCCTTGCACGTGCTAGGTGAGCACTCCACCGCTGAGCCACAATCCCAGCCCTTAGAAAAGATAATTTCTATCTTTTCCTTTATCTTTATTTTTTGTTGTTATTTTCCAGGAAATCATTGTGAAAATTATAACCAAAAAACTTGGAGAGAAGTATCACAAGAAAAAGGGTATCGTTAAGGTAAGGATATGAAGTTATGCATGGAAATTGTGAAAAAAGCTACTGGTTACCCAGTGAAGCTATTTTGGTATTTCTTGAAAATTAAATCCTTGTAGCAGAAGTATTATTGTGTCTAAGATTCCAATTATTCCATAAGATGAAATCTGAATTCATAATAGTTGGCGAAATACTTTTTTTCCAACCATAGTTTATATTTAACCTTGGTCTGTTTTCTTACTGGAACAAATAGTATTAAAGAAATCCCATTACTGTTGCTTAAAAATCTCAGTTGTGCATGCCTTGCCCATTAACCAGTGAAACGTTTTCTTGTTAATGATGGAYAGTATAATTATGCCCCAGAGGTCTCACAAGGACTTTCCTTGTGTATTGCCTAGGAGACTGGCTGCTCTAGGGTTTTGAAATTCCAGTCCTTTTCTGCCTTTCCTAAATATAGTTTCATTCTAGCACCCAGCCTTATGTAAATTGCCTTTTTTTCTGTAGTCTAAGCTAGGCAAATGGCCCTTCCTGCTGGATTTCTCAGTCTTATTCAGAGATCACTAGTCTCATATTCTTTCCAGGTGAAAACCTTAGCTAAGCTTTGAATTGAGTTCTATACTGAGCACCATTAACAGAAAAATCATGTATGGGATCTGGAAAATAATATTACTTATAAGAGTTACTTGTATCTTTCAATTGAATTTCATTTCTTTTTATTTTATTTATATTCTTTTCACTTAGTATTCACATATTCTTCTATGATAAAGGTGTTCATTTTACATGACAGGAGGTAATTGACAAATATACAGCTGTTGTAAAGATGATTGATTCTGGAGACAAGCTGAAACTTGACCAGACTCATTTAGAGACAGTAATTCCAGCACCAGGTAAACTTTTTTCAGACCACTTATATATATCCCATCAAAATAAGTGATTCCATTCTTAAAAACCTTGTTTTTTTGGCATTAATTGATAGTTACAGATGTGTTTCATTTTCAGAAATATTAACTGCCAATATAACTGATCCCCATTTGACTTCAGGTGTCACAATACTTGACTAGTCCTTTGATAAAGCTGTTTTGTGGCATGAATGAATTTTCCCTTTCTGGAAAACTTTTTTTTTCCTTCTGAAACAAAACACAGACATATATCAATAAAATTAATCATATTAGGCTTTTATTGTTAACATATTTGTTTAGCTATCTGAAATAGTCAAGTAAAAGTCTGTTTTACTTATTGCTTTTTTTCCCCTTAACTATCTTTGTCTTTTGGGTCCTTATTCATATCTAACTATAAACACCAATGGGGTTAGATTGTCTCTGACTCAAAATCTTCTTGAACATATCACTGAGGGTACATTGATAATGTTGATCTTAGGAACTTCCACGTATCATATCCTTTATTTTTCTCCCTCAAATGAAACTCTTCCTATAGATTGGCTTTATCAATGTATAATTGATGAACAATAAATTGCACATTTATCAAAAATATAAGCAATTTTAATGTGAGTACTGCTATGAAACCATCACTAAAATGAAGACAATGAACACTTCCCTTTATTTTCCTTTCTAATCCTTCCACTTGATCCCCTACTCTTGCTTCCTCTGTCTTCCTAAACAACATCAGACCTGCTTTCTGTCATTGAAGATTRGTTTACATTTTTACAGAATTTTATATAAATGAAATCATACTGGTGTCTTAGTTTTGTGGTTGTTTAATTTAGGTTATTTTGACATTGTTGTTGGGTCTCACTTCTTTCAGTTAACATAATTATTTTRGATTCATACATGTGAATCTATAGTCCATTTTTTTGTATTGCTGAGGAATATGTCAGTATGTTGATATACCGCAATTTATCCAAACACCTGTGGATGGACATATGGGTTGTTTAAAATTTTTTACAGATACAGATAAAACTGTGAACATTCATGTACAAATCTTTGTRTGGGTGTATGATTTCTTTTGGGTAAATACTTCAAATGGTTGTCACATGGTAGACATAAGTTTAAATTTTTATAAAACTGCCAAACCATCTTATTAATTTAAAAAAAAGACAATGTAAGTAAATTTTCTTATACTTCTGGACTCTGAACATTTTCTCTATGTACCCTATACACCTTGTGATCTAAAATTAAAACATCCATTTAAGAAATAATTGAAAACAATGAGGGGTTTTATAACGTTAGAGTAATCAAAGTATTTATAAACTACACTTAAGAACACCACATAGTTCTTAACATGATTAAGAACCTCTAAGAGAAGTTTTTTGTTTTTATTATATTCATTGTAACACATTTTGTTGTAACAAGGTAGGAAAAAAGTAGACAGTTTCTTTGCATTAAGTTTTATACACATTTCTATTATAGGGAAAAGAATTCTGGTTTTAAATGGAGGGTACAGAGGAAATGAAGGTACCCTAGAATCCATCAATGAGAAAACATTCTCAGCTACGATAGTCATTGAAACTGTAAGTTTGTTTACARATAGATAAAAATTTGAAAATGCTGTAAAAATGTATCTTAGTTCTTTTTAATTGAATTGAACTTTGTTTTAATTAGAGTATGCGTTTTTTTTGTTTGCCTTCCTTCCTATATAGAAATCTGTAAGCTTATTTTTCTCTAGTGACTTTGTCCTTTATGAAGCATTTTATTTTCTCATTACAAAAGAAATGGGTATTCATTATATAAAAATCTGAAAAATACAATTTAAGTAATTCTAAAAAAAATGCTCATAATTCCAAAGATAACCCCTATTAATATTTTAGTCTGTTCCTTTTCAGCCTTTGCATTTTGTAAAATCATATACAAGATGGACAATTTTATATCCTAACTTTTTTCCCACACATCTAATGTAATATAATATTAAAATTAATTGGAAAATGTAATCATAGTTGATGGAAAAGGAGCCACAGGTATCAATAAATTTTCAAAATGTCCCCCTCCTTTATTAAGGAACWTAAAGTAGCAGAAATCAACCCAGTTATTTCAAGAACTCTGATATATAAATAAAATTATTTGTCAACTTTAAACTATAAGTTTACTAACAGGTCTTTGGGTGAGATCTGAGATTTCTTAAAATTAAAATTCTTCTTAGAACTCTAAACTACTGCCATATCTTTCTATAAACAAAAGAAATTTCATCTCCAGTACAGTAGGTTTTAGTTTGGGATGGGGTGATAGACCCCTTAGAGAATCTGATGAAAGTTTGGCTTCATTTTTCAAAAAAATTATACCTAATTGCCAAATTTTATGTTTTCTCTTTGGGAAGTCATAGGCTCTCTAAACCCATGGACCTGTGAGAAAATATTTGTCTCAGAAAGACATTCTGGTAAAACCACTTAGATCCTTATTTAAGAGAACTCACACTTACTTCAGTAAATTAAGGGAGAAAAAAAAAGTGTCATGACAATACTAAAGTAGAAACTATCATTCACTAACATAAATGTAAGGGAATAAATGTTAAAAAGGAACTCTTRCCTGGCATTGAGGAATATCAGTCTGACTAAATTTACAGATTTGGGTTTTTTAAAAGTTTTTCTTTCTTACTCAATCAGTATGAAATGATGGGAAATCCCACATTTCCTTGACAGACTGATTGTCCTTTACTTTTTAATTTCATAGTCCTGTCCACTGTAGAGCCTACTTCATGTTTCCATCCTTWGGAAACACAGAACAACCTATTGAGGATATTTTAGGTTGTGTCCTGATATCTTGATCACAGTTGATATAATTTTCATCAAAAGCTAATTTCTTCCCTCCTTCCCCATAAACCCACACTTCTCTCTTCTTTTTGGTGGGTTGGTTGTTCACAGGGTTGTTTTTGAGATAGGGTCTAGGAGCAAAACCACAGTATAGCTTTTCAGGTTGGTTACAAAGCAACACATGCTTCCAAAAGAGGAAATTCACTTTTAGTTTTTGTTTCTCATTTTTTTTTCAGCATGCCCACATTTAAACAACAACAAAAAAGRCTGCACATGTATATGCATGTTTGTCTCTTATGTCCCCATGTTTTCCTTGAATCACTTTTCAAGTTGTTTCTCCTGCTATTTTTATTACTTTAGAGAACAGATTTTTAATAGCTGATAATGTATACCTAAATATAGCCTAATCTTTTTTAGCTATTTGTCTAATGAACCCAAATATCTGGTTCCCTTCTTACTCTCCAGATGTGCAGTTCTTATCAGACAAGTTTAATTGACCATAGACCCTTAAATGCAGTAATGAAAGATTCGATCTGGGTCATGCTTCATCTGGAAACTTATTTCCTTTAAATATAATCATTATTATATTTTTAAAAACTGACATTTTGAAAAGCATTTTTAACACAAGTTATGGTTCTTTGTTGAAAAATATTGAAGTCTCACTGAGTGTGGTGGCACTCACCTGTAATTCCAGCAACTTGGGGCAGGAGGATCGTGAGTTCAAAGCCAGCCCCAGCAACTTAGTGAGGCCCTAAGCAACTTAGCATGACCTTGTCTCTAAATAAAATATTAAAAAGGGCTAGGGATATGGCCCAGTGGTTAAGCACCTCTGGGTTCAATTCCCAGTACCTCCCCATCCCCCGCCCCAAAAGTCTCAGTCCATGGTTAGAGTTGTGATTGTCATTGTTATCATCATGTTAGTGCTATACTTTGTAAAGGGGAGGGTTTCAATAATAAGTATTGATAAGTATTGTGCATATATCCATTTAAAGTTCTAAGTATTATTCTGGGCATTTAATAATATATGTTTTCCAACAACTCAAAAGTGGAGGCACTGCTGTTATACCACCTGGGGATACCAGAACAGAGACAAGAGTGGGAAACTGAAGAGCAGAGGTTAAATTGCTTGCTCTAGGTGGGAGTTGAACTTGGCAGTCTAGGATAGGAGTCCATATTCTTTTTTTTTCTTTTAATATTTATTTTTTAGTTTCGGGGGGACACAATATCTTTATTTTTATTTTTATGTGGTGCTGAGGATCGAACCCAGTGCTTCACGCATGCTAGGCGAGTGTGGTACCACTTTAGCCACATCCCCAGCCCTAGGAGCCCATATTCTTAGCTCCTTTATTCCCAGATTGTATCTACCTTTGAAGTTTTCCCCTTTTCCTTTTTGTTGATATGAAGAAAGGAAGAAAATATGTTTAAAGATGGACCCATATTCTGTAATAAGACCAGCCCAAACTATCACAACTCACTTGATACATGAGAGTTGTTATATTGCTTTTAATAATATTTGGAAAAGGTAAAAGAAACCTCAATGGATAATGGCACAAACAAGATAGATATGTATGAAGTTTAAAAGGGGTATTCTTCATCACGGAAGAGTTCTTTTCTGAGTTGTAATTTGTAGAGCCAGGTCATTCCTATTAGTGGCTCTGCCATTTTAAGAAGTGGCACCTGCAGGTGCCATGTCAGGCAGAACACAGAGGAGCATGACAGATTGCAGGTAGGCAGCTGGTGTGGCTGGATCATAGCTTCTGCTCATGCCTATGGGCTGGAGCTCCATTTATGGCCACATCAACCCACCAAGGGAATCAGGAAGTACAGCTGCTTATTAGGGAAACTGAGAAGATGCTGCACAGCTGGGAAGTCTCTGTCACTATGTCTGCTGATTACATTAATTAGAATGCCATAGATTATTTTTTAAATGCACAGATGTACAGAAATATTAGCTACCTCATGATATTCTAGGGATATGGAAAAGGTAAATTTTGTCCATAAGTGTGGTGTCATTTTTTTCCCCTTTTAAATACATGTGTTTTTAACCTTCTCTAAATTATTTTAATTTGTAGGGCCCTTTAAAAGGACGCAGAGTTGAAGGAATTCAATATGAAGACATTTCTAAACTTGCCTGAGTTTGAAAATTTGTTAACAATACATTAAAATTCTAAAGCATCAAATTGGTGTTTGCCAAGRCATTATGAGACTCTACTGTGTTAGGGTATTTCTTTTATATAAAACAAATAGATTTATTTAAATATTACTGTATAGTTGTTGTGAAACTTATAGAAAAATCTAATTATGTCTACTGAAGTATCAAGACTATGTAATTTTTCCTTGTTTTTTCTTTTTTTTGTAATATTTCCTTGATTTTTTATTTTCATTAAAGAACRTTATTGGAGAGTGTTTTATATTGGATAATTTAGAATCATATAATCAGAGAAAATCTTTCATGTACTCTAAATTTATATTTTCCATAGTAGAATAGTAAAATTGAACTCTAAGTATAAATTTTAAAAAGCAAAGCTACAAATATAATAGTAGCTTTATTGTGATATAATTTACACATTTAAAATGTACACTTCAATGGTTTCCTATATTTATAGAGTTGTGCAACCATTTCCATATCTAATTTTTTTAGGATATTTTTATCACCTTGGAAGGAAAGCCTGTACACAATCTTTATTCCTCCCAGTCACTCCCAGTTTCTGGCAACCATTAATCTACTTTCTGTCTTTACGGATTTGCCTAGTCTAGACGTTTTAAATAAATGGAGTAACCTAACATGTGGTCTTTTAAGACTGGCTTCTTAATACTTTGCTAAATAATTTCAAGATTTATAAATGTTGCAGTGCTTCATTTCTTTTTATTGCCAAATAAAATTCACTGCGTGGATAGACTACATTTGTTCATCCATTCATCAGTTGATAGGCATTTGGCTATCTCTGTTTTTCAGTTATTATGGATAACGCTACTCTGACACTTGTGTAGATGTATGTTTTCAATTCCTAGGAGTAGACTTGCATAGTCACATTAGAGTTTATATCCTGTTTAATATTTTTGAGGAACTGAACAGTTTTACAAAGCAACTGCATCACACCAGCAATGGTGAACTATCCATTTTTAAATAAATAGAGCATCATATTATTTGGGAATGCAGAAGACTGGAAACCCTCCTCATACTTGCCTATGCTCACCTCCCCACCAAAACAGGAAATGTATGGTTCACATCATTGAGCATGAGCAGATGCAGTGAAATCCAAGTATGAATGGTCTTATTGGGGCTTGTTCTCTTCGTTGGTTCCATTCTCAGGCATTCTTAAAAGAACAAGATGATTCCCAATGTCTCCAGTTTACATCTTACTTTCAGTAGCACCAGTTAAAAAAGAAAGAAAGAAAAAAAAAAGACTATCTTCTATATTGATTCTTATGGAAGGCCTGCATTAGTCTTATTAGACCATACCTGGTAAAGTCATTCCAAAGAAAAGGATGGAATATGCTGACTGTCCAGACCAGCGTTGTATGCCAGCCCCTGGGCCATCTTGCTTGGAATGAAAGTAGAGGAGGGCTGAGAATTTCTGTTATCAGATGATGGGAGAATATATGCTAAAAGTAGAAACATAAGAGGCAAGATAAGAAATAGTGACAAGAAGATATTAGTACCTTTACAGAAAGTATTTAGGGATGGGTTAAAAATCTTTCCAAAATAACTTGACAGTGTGGTATCATGGAAAACAACTGGGTCTTGGGGCTGGACAGATGTAAGGTTGAAAATGTTAGCTAATCTATTCTCTGCCTATATAATCTTAGAAAGTTAATGTTTGTGAATCATAATAATTTCAATGTGTAAGTTTTCAAAAATAATGTGTCCATGCAGAGCTGATGTTAGAACTRCAGAGAATTAAGATTAAAAAAAAAGAAAAAGAGGGGCCAGGGTTGTAGCTCAATGGTAGARCCCTTGGCTAGCATGTGTGGGGCACTGGGTTCAAATCTCAGCACCACATACAAATGAATAAATAAAATAAACATGTTGTGTCCATCTACAACTTAAACAGGTATCTTAAAAGAGACAGAAAATRCATATAAAGTGTCAGACATAAAGCTTGGCACATAGTAGCTGTTTGGAAATGTCAGTGAGTAGTAGTGTCAGTAAATATAATCAAGCATTTGAAGCCAGCCCCAGCATGAATCTGATCCAAAGAATTTCAGTAAGGAGAAGTTCTTAATAATAGTGTAACTGAAAAGTTGCCAAATTAGATCTACCTCCTTGAAATCCTTAATTTTGGAATAAACTCAGTGATTTTCTTCAGAGAGAAATGATTCTTTCTTACCTCTGTCATTTTTTTCCTCTCAACATCTTCCTGAACTTATCTTGGAATGAAATAAAGTAGTGTRCTTCAAGTTAAATTCATTAAAAAAATATCTGAAGCACAAAAATGTGATCCTAAAGTACAGAAATATTTTTATCCTCTAAGGTCTTAGGCCAATAGTGGTTACATTAAGCAGTAGGACAGCAGACACCCCAAATCAGGTCTTACATTGGCTTTTCTTTATAAAAGATCATAAGCTATTCTTTTCCTTTAAAAAAAAAAAACAGACTTTAAAGCGTTTCTATAGGTTTTGACAAATGTATACTGTGTGTCCACTATTACGGTGTCATACATAGTACTTTCACTGTCCTAGGAAGCCTCCGTGCTCTGCCTATTCATCCCTCTTCATCCCTCAAATTCCTGTTCTTTTCACTATCTCCATAGTTTTGCCTTTTCCAGAATGTCATATAGTTGAAATCATAGGCTGTAGCCTTTTTCTTTCACATAATACACATTTAAGATTCCCCTGTGTCTTTTCATGGCTTGATATCTCATTTCTTTTTTTTTTTTTTTAATTTTTTTAAGTTGTAGATGAACACAGTGTCTTTATTTATTTATTTTTATGTGGTGCTGAGGATTGAACCCAGTGCCTCATATGTGCTAGGCAAATGCTTTACCACTGAGCCACAACCCCAGCCCCCTCATTTCTTTTTAAGGCTGAATAATAATCTTGATTGTCTGGATCTTCCATAATTTACCCATTCAACTACTGAAGGATACCTTGGTTGCTTCCAAGTTTTGACAGTTATGAATAAAGCTGCTGTCAACATCCTGGGTGCAGGTTTTTGTGCAGATACAGCTCATTTTTCTATATTTCTGAGAAGCAAATATTTTCGAAAGCTAATCAATAGGCAGCTAGTGTGGTAGTTGTTTCTTTCCAACTGTTCCCATTAATTTGTTCCCTTTGTTTGAAATAAGAGTATGTTTTGTTTGTAAGAGACTACCAAACTCTCTTCCAAAGTGGTTTTACTATTTTGCATTTCCACCACTTCACATCTTTACCAACATTTGGCCATGTCCATTCATGTTCTGGGTTTGGGCTCTCCTAATGTATATGTAGGTATCTCATTGTGTTAATTTGCAATCCCTTAATGACATGATGCTGAGCATCTTTTCATCTCCTTATTTGCCATCTGTTTATCTTTGGTGAAATATCTTTTTTCAGGCCTTTGCTCATTTGTAAACTGGACCATTCATTCTCCTGTTGTGTTTTAAGAATTTTTTTTAATAAGGGTTTTTTATCATATATGTCTTTTGTAAATATTTTCTCCAAACAGTGGCTTTGTTTTCTCTCTCTCTCTCTCTCTTTTTTTTTTTTTTTTTCTTATCAGTGTTCCTGAGATTATATGAAAGTTTTAGCATTGCTACCCTGGGAGATAAAATGCCAGAATTTTGTTTACTAGAATACCATTAAATTCCATTACCTTATTTGCTGATTTCCCCTTTGTCTTCTGGTGTCCTCTTCCAGCCCCAACCACCTATCAGTTTTTGCTGACAGAACAGAGTCACATTCATTAAGTAAACATTTACTGAGTACCTCTAGTCTGTAAGAATGATATGTAAGAATGAGAAGCAGGTATCAACCCAAGGTGCATATTGTATAGAAATTCAGAGTGTTCATTGGTACTCAAATGAAGTAATAATAAGCCCATAGTAAGCAACTCCATAATGTGAAGTACTTAGTTAAAAATCTKCCATGACTTTGCTAGGCCCTAAGAGACTATTCACTGATACCAGTAAAATGGAAGCACAGGGTTAGAGTATGAATCAGCCTTGATTGTAAATTAGTCATTAGGTTGACCAAAGTGACCCCAGAAATATTAGCTGTATAATTAAGTCATTATGCCATTAAAGAGAAGCATCTTTGTTTTTTCTTTTTCTTATGTGGATATTTCAGAAAAATTTACCAAATAAATTTGGCCAGTAAAAAAGAAGTTTTAAGAAAAAAAAAATACTTGGGGAATGGAGAATGGATATTGGCCAAATCATATTGTCATATTGTGTGCATGTATAAATATATAACAGTAAATCCCACAATTATTACAACTATAATGCACAAATAAAAATATGGAAAAATATGAAGTTTTTAATAGCACATAAGCATCTGCATGTTTCTAGGCAACCGGGAAATTTTTTCCTTGATTTTTACTGGATCTTTGGAGTTACTTGTATCTCCTTCCATAGGATAAGGCTAGCTAAAAGATGCCACTTCATGTATTAGTGATCCTTAAGAGTATGTAGTGTGACTCACATAAACCAGCAGACGCCAAAATCACTCCTGATTCTTAGTTCATTTTTCTACATGTTGACTGTGATGCTTTTGAATTGTGTTAATTTATTCATTTCTTTGAATGGACTGTTTCCAACCCTAAAAAAATTGTTTAAATTTCAGTAATTAAAAAGCACAGTAATTTAAAGCTAATTTAAAAACAAACAAACTTGGGACTGGGACTGTGGCTCAGCGGTAGAGCACTAGCCTAGCACATKCGAGGTGCTGGGTTYGATCCTCATAAAAATAGATAAATAAAATAAAGRTATTGTGTAAAACAACAAGGAAACAAACTGTGACCAAGGTTATGATCTGAACCATTACTCTGTTTTTTCTTAAACATAAGGCTTGCATTTTCCTGACAGTAAGACATATATTTAATTATTTTTATGGTGACTGTGTGATTGATATTTAGGAAAAGCTTTGACTATAGGTTACATAAGTCCTAAAGATGGTTAAGCCAGTTTTTAAAAATAAATTTCTATAGGTTTTATTTTTCTCTAGAATGCCRAGATATCCAGTCCTCATGAACTGGAAAGGATGTTAAGGGCCAACACCATGAAGGGAATCCTAACAAAGTACATCAGGTCATCTCAGCTCCCTTGATAAAATTGTCCCTACCAAGAGTGACAGGTTTTTAGTATAAATCTCCACAAAGCAACTAAGATCAAGCAACTTCCCATATTCATTTTCCATGTTCACAAATAACCTCGTAATTGAACTTCCTATGTGATTAACAGTGTAAAAAATATTCTCCATCTGCAAGGTCAAGGACCTGACATTCAACACTAGTGAAATTATCACAGTAAATGCCAAATCTAGGGCTCTGTCTAGATGCCACCCTGACTTGCCAAAGCACAGTACTTTGCATCACTCAATTAATACACCTTAGCATCTGAAAAATGCAACAGCATCATAAGGCTTCATTGCAAAATATTTATTTTATTCAGATGTGTTGAACAGGCTTTATAAACCTCCATGGCACCTGCGGTTTTTTAACTATTCAACTGAGGAATGACTGCAAAAGTGGCAGGGAAAAAATGTATATTTATATGTAGAATTTTCAAAACTATAAACCTTTAAGGCCATTTAAGAATGCTATAGAGATGAGGCACAAAGTAGTCCTTGTAATGTCCATCGATGAAACCTTTGCCACTGTTGTGCACAAACCAACAGGGAACATCTGTTCCAAACACTATATCTGTTCTGTAGTCTTTCTGGAATCCTCTGTAAGGAAAATAGTACACACGATTAGGGAACAGACCAGGCACTCCAGTCAGGCATAGCAAGAAACAAGACACCCTCTTTTCCATGCTGTTTGTTGTGCTTTTTTATTACCATTATCTTGCCCACCCCTACCGTATCCCTGCTCCCCCGAGTTGTATGACATGTCAAGTCTGGACATGGCTGTTAGAAGGACAGAGATTAAGCAGTGTGTCTTTACTATTCAAGGAATCCTTACAGAGGTTGACCCCTGTGAACCCTTCAGGCAAAGTAGAGAGCAGTCATTTAATCCAAGTGGAAAGACAGGAATACAATCCCAAAAAGTTGTAGACTAACCTCACATTAACTCTGAGGGACCTCGGACTTAAGGATAAATGTTTTATTTGAGAGTGATACCTGCTGTTTGAGTAAATTTGTGTCCTTCACTTGAAGGACAAAAAAAGCCAATGATTTGGAAAGGTATACAACACATTGCTATTAATGAGCCTTAAAAGCCCACAGGTCAACTCTACTTCAATTATGAATCATGAGATACTTTCAGTAGGGGAAGCTGAGGCCCAGCACCAGCCTCTTGTAGAATAGATGCTCTTTTACCGAGCTTCATGTGATTGATTGCTGTGGTGCTTACCCCTTGGCCATCACGMTTGCTGCTGCCCACTGGGAACTCACTGTTCTCTATCTAATGAACCAAAACAAGTTGAGTAGTCCAAACCAAGAATCCCTGTTTGGTTCACAAATTTAGTTTTGTGGTGGCACTTATAATTTTATGGCCTAATTATTGCAATGTTATGATTTGATTGAGTATGTGAAAGCCAATAACATTTGTGTGCAGGAATAGTCTTTTTTTTCTCTCTCTCTCTCTCCTACTGAGGATTGGACCCAATGGTGYTCTACCACTGATCTGCATCTCCAGCTTTTTATTTTATTTTTTTTATTTCGAGACAGAATCTGGCTAAGTTGCCCAGGTTGGCAGCGAACTTGCCATCTTCCTGCCTCAGTCTCCCAAGTAACTGGGATTATAGGCATGTACACAGCACCCAGCTAGGAAGAGTCATTTTTAATAAAGCAAAGTTGGCTGCTTTATAATAACTCTAAAAAGACAAAAACTGCTTTAAAATGGTATCAAATTAGGCATGGATGAGAAGACTGGGGAAAATTTATAAAGATTTTACAAGTTTTATAACTTGTAACACTCAGAATGTTTTATAARTTCTCACTTCAAATTGAAGCATATGGATATGATTTGTGTAAGAATAGCTACACAAAAATGAATTCAGTAAATCCATACTCAAAAAGAAGGCTCACATAAAAATATACTTTCGTTCTCTACACTGTGGCTCATGGGTATTTTTATGATTTCTTCCTTTGGTTAACTTTTTCAGTTACCCAACTTGTGAGCAGAGGGCTTCCAATGTATGAAGATGAGAACAATAGATTCATTAATCTTGGCATTTCCTAATGCACACTTATAGTCATTATTGACACTTAAGGTAGGCCATCGAAGTGTCCTTATGGAAATGAYATGTATTTATGTGTCTATTCCTGATGCATTGTTGAGTTTGACAGCTTTTCTTGCTCTTTCTTTTGCTGCATAAGTCCAATCCAACAGGGAACCCTTTTCATCACTGCATAAGCATCCAAGGCCTACCTGGTGACAGTCAGCTTCTGTCCTTTCACTTGCATGCTTGCCTCTGGCTTCTCAGGGTCCTTTCCTGGTCTCTCATTGAAGATGTGTATCTTTGGCTCGTGCATGAACTGGCCTAGCAAAACAAAATCCAGACATTTATTTACATGTAATCCAAAGTTTCATTGGATCCAAGTGACATTTTGGTCCTCCTTCCAGAATTTCTAGGGTAGAAAGACATATTGAGAGGTAAAAGGAGCAGCAAAGGGAGGGAAGGGTTCTTCCTGAAAATGATTTCCCATGATCATTTTTTATACATGAGGCTGACCCACTGGACTATTAGTAAAACCACCCAAGTGATGGTGAGGACAGGGGTGAGGTCGGCATTGGAGAGCACAGGTCAAACCATAGGAACATGTCTGTGATGTACATTTGAACTCTTAAAATACCAGGGAATGTAGTCCCTGGATGTTCTACTTGTTATCAAAGACTTCCTAAACCAGTTCACCTCCCTTCCACTACAAAACAGTCTTCTCTTAACTTGCCCCATTTGTGATGCTGAAACCCTGGCCCTAGAAGCCCCTGTCTGGAAAGATGAATGCTCCTGGCCATCTTATTCCTGAGTCACCACATTGTATGGGTCCTCTACCCCTGAGTCCACTTCTGCTCTCTTCCCAACTTCTTTTTTTTATTATTAGTTACACATGACAGTACAATGATCTTGACAATTCATACATTTGAATCAARTGGGGTATAATTTCTCATTTTTCTGATTGTACAAGTTGCAGAATCACATTGGTCATACAGTCACCWGTATACATACAGCAATAATAATGTCTATTTTATTTTGGTGCCCTTCCTATCCCCCCTTCCCCTCCTTTCCCCTCCCATYACATTTCTCTACCCAATCTAATGTGACACACTTCTTTTTTTTTTTTTCCCTCACAACATCATACATGTATTCTGTATAACGATGAGGGTCTCCTTCCATCTTCCCTGCAATTCCCCTTCTCCCTCCCATTCCCTCCCACCTGTCTTCCCTATTTAGTGGTAATCTTCTTCTCATGCTCTTCCTCCCTATCCCATTTTGAGTCACCCCTCTTATATCAGAGAAGACATTCAGCATTTGTTTTTTAGGGATTGGCTAACTTCACTTAGCACAATCTGCTCTAATGCCATCCATTTCCCTGCAAATGCCATGATCTTGTTATTTTTTAGTGCTGAGTAATATTCCATTGTGTATAAATGCCACATTTTTTTTATCCATTCATCTATTGAAGGGCATCTAGGTTGGTTCCACAGTCTAGCTATTGTGAATTGTGCTGTCTTCCCGAAACTTCTAACGACCCTCATCCAAGTCACTAAAGACAGAGTGGCCCTGCATATGCCCCATGGTTGAGAGACAATTTACCTAAAAGTCCATGCACATTAGGGGAAAACTTGTTTGTGGGGGGAATGTAGATCCCCAGAAAGTCTACGTTGATTGGATGCTTCTTCCAAACACGATGCAGTAGAACAGAAAAGGATATCTCCTTATCCAGGGTCACAGTCACAGTTTTTTCTTTCTTCACAGAGACAAGCACCCTAGTGTGAAAGTCAACAAGRAAGGAAAGGATTCCAGAAGAGACTTCTTTAGCAAGTCATTCTCACCCCCAATATATACTCTCCATASCTCCCAGTACAATTCCCCTTGTGTTTTAAGAGCTTTCCCATGTTTTTGCTACAGAATGCTGGAGGTTTTGTTGTTGTTGTTGTTTGTTTGTTTGTTTGTTTTTGTGGTGCTGGGGATTGAACCCAGGGTCTTGTGCATGTGAGTCAAGCACTCTACCAACTGAACTATATTCCCAGCCCTCAGAATGCTGTTCTTTTAACTCCCAGCTCTAAAATTCTGTCAATTTGCATGTTTATAGGTAAACCATCAATTAACAGATACTAATTGGTAAGACACATGGGGCTTGGAGCAGGCTCCCTGACAGAGTCAGCTGGGGATTTCGGTTGATGAGTTTGTTTACTGATCCAACGCATGTATTAGGCCAGGCACTGAGACATAGTAGTGACCAAAAAGCTACCTGGAAGAGTATGGTAGGTAAGAACAACTTTCTTGAGCCTTGGCTTCCTTATGCTTAAACTGATWATTTTAAATTCTGTGTTGATGTTGATGTTTGGATTTATTTGTGCAGCCATGCCTCAAAGACAGGAATCCATTCAGATGGAGTAATACTTGCCTCTGATTAATGATGTGAGCTGTGTCAGACCAGGACAAGATGGATGTATGAGAACCACGACTCAGGGTGATGGTCTCAGTGCTGATTTCTATTTTCAGGTCTTCATTTTGGAAGTAAAATCCCAGTTTTCCAAAATAGGTTCTTAGCTTTCCATTCTGAGGCTTCTTTGCACCAATAAGCTGACCATTCACTAAAATCCCTGTAGAAGAAAAAAATCTTTTTTTTTTCTTGTGGGCCCTTTTTTTTTTAATGTATGTCTGGGCACCATAATTCAAATTTTATAAAACTTGACAATTTGAGAATAATAATATTATTTTGCTTCAGAATTTGTTTTTTTAAAAATTTCATTTTATAACTGATATGTTTTATTATGAAGTAATTATATCATAATAAGATAAGCTAGTTTATCCTTTCAATGTAGGTTTTGAATTATGATTGTTCCAGACTCTTCAGAATATATTTATTATAATTTAATTTTTCACTGATTATCAGATTTCTAAAAGTATAGAATTTCTATTTAGAAGAGACACAGAGAAATCCCAGGTAGTGACAGGGAAGCGTGGCAATTATCTTTTTTTTTTTTTTTAAAGATAGAGTGAGAGAGGAGAGAGAGAGAGAGAGAATTTTTAATACTTATTTTTTAGTTCTCCACAGACACAACATCTTTGTTGGTATGTGGTGCTGAGGATCGAACCCGGGCCGCACGCATGCCAGGCGAGCACGCTACCGCTTGAGCCACATCCCCAGCCCTAATTTTCTAATTCAAAAATAAGATCCTTTTATTTTACCTGATTCTGGATCAGAAACCAGATTGAGGATTTTTCCAGGTTCTGAGTCAATATTAAAGCAAATATTCTTTTGGCTTTTTGGCAGATAAATGATGAAATGGGGGTCATTTTCAACTGGAAAACATACAAGGAAAATGAAAACAAGATCATTAAAAGAAATTATTTTGAACAGTATTTTATTGCYGAACACCTTTAATTTAATCAGAAAAAGTATCTACTGTGCTTCCATTATTGATCAGGTTCTGTTTTAGGCCTGGGTATCCAGTGGTCCATACCCTCTTGACCCTTTGTCTTGGATCATCTATCAGTATTTATGTTTTTTAATAAATATAGTGGATATTTATTTTGTACCTCTTACATATGTACTAGGCTAAATACTGGAGATAAAATTAAATCAAAAGATAAAAGGAATAAGAAACATACATGTATGAGAAACCCATATATATAACAMATACAGGTAAGAAACACACACTCTATAGACATTTTTTAAGTAAAATAGAGATGTATTCATATACAGTAAAGAAAAATAAAGGAGACATAAAATAGATAAGTCACAGAAGTGAAATGAGGTCACGTGAAATATCCACCAAATCCCTGGCTAAGTTTCCTCTGTCGCAGAACAATGTCTGATGTGTTTCTTGAGAAGTTCCTTCTGAGGATCTCTTGATTGATAGAAGAGTCTACATTCTAGGGAATCTAGACAGCTGCTCTTTCTAGGAACAATAGGAAAGACCCTTCCATGAACAATTCAAAAAAAACCACGTTAGGCAGGTACTTGGGACCTTCGTCTAGAGAACAGAACCCAGGAGCACCCAGCTACATGACAGCCGCACACAAGATAAGGAAGAGTCCTCAGAATGCAATCCACCTTTCTGGCCCTTTGATCTTGGACTTCCAGCCACCAGAATTGAGATAAATGAATGTCTGTGATTTAGATGCCCCAGTCTGATATTTTGTTCCAGCAGCTTGGGACTTGTCTTCTTTCAACGGAAGTCAAAGATGCCTACTTCCCCAGCACACAGTGATTTTATTCAGGCACAGAAGTGCACCACAAGTGAGAAGGTGGAAGAGTGTGCATTGAAGCTCTGTTACCTCTTATCACATGTGGAGGGGGCGTGGACTCAAGCAGCTGTCCCCCTATCACAGGCATGGCCATCACTGGTGTTGGAGAAGGCTTGGCCCAAGATGGGATGGAACCTGGAGCAACTTTGCTGCCATAATACAAGGCACCTGTGCAGGAAAAAAAAACTGTATCCGTTAGTTTCCATAGAAATTTCAAGAATCCTTTTTCATTCATTCTTTCTTTCTCTTTTAGCAGCCCCCAGAGGCTCTTGGTGGAAGTTTTATCTCCCCATTTTTTTTTTTCCAGTTCTAGGGATTGAATCCAGGGCCTAATACATGCTAGGCTAGTGCTGTACCACTGAAAAACACCTTCAGCCCCTTCCCCCATTTTTTTTTTTTTTTTTTTTTTTTTTTTGCGAGGTGATAACTACCAGAGTTTGAACTCAGGAGCACTTACTTAACCACTGAGCCACACCCCCAGCCCTATTTTGTATTTTAATTAGAGACAGGGTCTCCCTGAGTTGCTTAGTGCCTCACTTTTGCTGAGGCTGGCTTTGAACTCACAATCCTCCTGCCTCAGCCTCCTGAGCCACTGGGATTACAGGTATGCSCCACCATGCCTGGCCCTCTTTCCCCCTTTTTATTYCAGAGATCTCTGCTCTCCCACTGGCATCCCAGGAGGAGAGGCTGTGCTAGAGTTCTCCCAGGGTCCAGAAGCTGAGGAAGGATCTGCAGTAGGAGGAACTGATGACTACAAATCTTTCTAGAACTCGCCAAACAACAAGCTGAATCCATTTCACTTTCTGAAGAGGTCCCTATCCAAGAGAGAGACTGTGTTACACAAGAAGGATTCTGATATTCAGTCATTCTCCCTGCTTTGAGAAACACAGGCAATTTCCCAGCCTTAGTTTTTCCCTAGATCAGTTTAGGTGTGAGGGCCTCGATCTGTTGTAATCAGGGATGTCAGAAGTCAGAGTTCCACAAACCCTGGACCAGTGCAATAAACTTGGCATCCCACTTGAGCACAATTAAAAATGCAGAAAGCAATCCCTCCAATGGATGCAGCTCATTCTCAAGACAAGGTCTCTAAGAAAGAGGGAAAGGATCTAGTAAACTGGAAGCCCTTCTAGCCTCGGTTATGTACCCCAGGGGCKACCTGGAGACTTTTTACAGGACACAGAGGGCAAGGAGAGCATTTAAGGCCATTTGTAGATTCAGAGCTTCCACATATACTTTTCCTAAGACCCCTTTCTCCTAGAGTATAAATGGAAGGCAGTTGATTCTCCTGCCCTCCCTCATCTAAAGTCCCCAGGAATCAAAGCGTCCATTTGAATGTAGGTACAGCCTTTAAAACTCAGTGACTCCAATGACTGGTGACAAGTCAGATGGTTACTCATTCTTTACTTTCAGTAAAATTGAGAAGGGTTCACATTGTCAGCTGACAAATCATTGAAGTTTTGAATGCTTGAATTTGAGAGTTTGGGCATATAACTGTGGTGGAATTCAGACAAGCAAGTGACATTTCTAATAACAAGCTCTTTCTCTTTCATTCCTATCTAACTTATCTGTGTCAACAATGTTTATCAGTACTTAAGCCTGTAAAGCTGTTTTTTTATTTTTATTTTTTAAACATAGAATTGAAGCTGAATCCTGTATCTTTCAGTCTATCCATAAACAGTACTTACCATGAATACTTGAAGGAAGACTCAGCCACATTTTTTCTCATTAGGAGATGATTTTACTTCAATCAAATTTTACTTCTTATGTATTTCAAAATTTATATCATATTAATGTTATTTTGATCAATGTCTACTAACACTGTAGTAATTTTAATAAAATATAATCCAGAAGAAAAATTTGAATGGTTAGAATCTTATGGTGAAGTGGCACTCCCTTTCTTCACAGAAAAGTCTTAACTGGGCTTCTCTAGAAATCTTCACCATGGCTGATTTTAGGACTGTCRGCAAAAGAGTCTATGCAAAAGAGTTCAATGTAGATAAACTTCCTATTTTCGAGTTGCCCTGATTTACTTGGTCACTGGCAGGGAAGATACCAGCACTCCAGGTGCTGGACACCCCCTTACTAGTTTTTCACAAATATATCCAGTATAGTAGTTTATAGAAATGTGCAAACAAGGCTTTGAGCTGGGCTTCACAGAGATGTCTTCATTTTTAAGATAAGTTATCAATTGGTCTCCATGGTAACAGCTGGCAGGGGGAGGAAAGAAAGGGGAGAAGAAGCTCTCCCCTTCTCAGGAGTTGTCCTTGAAGAATTAACTTGCCCAAAACAATGAAAGAAAAAGCTGCTTTTATGTGAACTTCTGCAGACTGTGAACTTCTGAGCCCTTCCCCTTACATGCTGGGTATAAAACTCTGAAACTCCCTGAACTCGGGGTTCAGGGGATTGATTGATTACAGCAAAAGCTGTGCCCTCTGAACCTGGCTGCARCYAAATAAAACTRTTTCCTGCTATCTTYGGTGCCTTGCCTCATCTGTCCCTACAACAATGGTACAACTCTTAAATTTGAAAGTTAAACAAATATAAGCAAGAGAGAGAAAGAGAGAGAGAGAGAGAGCAAAATAAGCAAACATTTTTCTTGCAGGGAAGCAAGGTGATTAATAAGACTTTGATGCATAAAAATAGATTACATTAGCATATTTTGTGAGGAGAAAGTGGAATGGAAATAAACACAAGTTCAACTAGAAAAAAAAGAACAAATATAAACATTTTAGTAATTAAAATAGAATTTATTCATGCATGTTTTAGATGRATGATGGTGAGTATCACAATAAGTGTTCTGTCTCATTAGATATGTTCAAAACAGTGGCATCGTTTTATTTTACAGAGTCAATGTTTACGATATGCCAGAAATATATTTGTCTCCATGATTTAAATAGGATGAAAAAAAATTAAATGTTGATTTAAAAAATAAGTGTGGGAATTGTGCTCTATATATATACTATGAATTGAAATGCATTTTGCTGTCATGTATAACAAATTAGAATAAATAAATAAATTTAAAATTAAAAAAATGAGTGTGGGGGTTCAGTGGTCTTCATAATTCCTTTGGGAGAATATGAGTAAAAATGTTCAAAGACCATAATGATAAACCATCCATATTAAAGTAAGTTTAATATGCAATCTCAGGCAGGCAGGGACATGAGCTGGGAGCAAGAGGTGGGTTAGGGACAGGACAGAGCAGAGGCCCTAGACCTCAGCATAGAACAAGAAAGCTGCCCTGACATTACTTCACCAGATGAAAACACTGACCTGAACAGCAAGAGTGATCATGTGGAGGGGAGTCGGCCAGCATGCGCTCGTCCCCAGCTTCATTCTCAATCACCATCGCAGTCAGTGGGGTCACAATATGATGTTCTAGAGACATCTGCAGGATTGTTTTTGTAATCTTCCTTTTGGCTGCAGCTGTAGGAGCCAGGCTTCTGCATCCAGGAAATAGAAGCATTACAGGTATTTGAAGGGGGAACTCAGATCCCATTCCCACCCACCTCCACTACTGATGTCCAGCCAGGGCCTGGGCAGGGGGCCACGGTGCACAAGGCAGAGGGAAACAGAACTAAATGGCTTCATGAAGCTACTATGTATTTTATCTAGCTATGTAGTCCAAGGGATTGTTTACATAAGCTATTTTTCAGAGAAGCTTTAGGTTCACAGTGAAATCAAGCAGAAAGTACTAAGATATTACCTGTGGGCCCCCTGTCCAGCTCTGGACATCTTCCACCAGAGTTGTACATTTGTTACAATTGATGAATAGACATCCATCAATTGTAACTTAAGTCATAGGTCAATAGTTTACATTAGGATTTACTCTGGATGTTGTTTTATGCTATGGTTTGAACAAATGAACAATATGTATCCTCCACTGTAATATCATACAGAATAATTTTCACTGTCCTAAAAATGTTCTGCGCTCCATATATTCTTTGCTTCCCTGAACCAGATCAGTGGCAACCACTGATTTGAGATTGTTTTTTTTAATCGATATTTAACTTCAGCAGCARTTTGCTCTATACCTTTAAATATATTCAGTGTGCTTCTACCCAAGGGGCAGGGATGTTTCTCAAATAGCTTACAGCCTGTTTATTTATTTATTTTTTTATAATCTTATCGACATCAGGGATTTTCTCTGCAAATCCAGCTATATAATAGTATTTCATTTTCCCAGCCTAGTTTAGATCACCCTATTTCATCTTCTTGGGAATCTGATCTAACAGGTGGAGTGGGCTTGGGAACGGTAATTTTTATCAAACATCCCATGTAATTCTGATGCAGGTGGTCAAAGAACTGTACACTACTCTAGTGATAGATAAGTTTTTATGTTGGAGGGTTATGATGCAGCTCGACTGAGAAGCCAGGGGCGAYGTAGATGAGTATCAGGGAGCCCTTCCTGGGGGACATTGTAATCTTATAATCATATATTTCTCTTTAGACAATAACCTGCTTTCAAGAGCAAATGTAAATTAATTACTCATATACACAGCAACACAGATGAATCTCATAGATATCATACTGAGTGAAAGAAGCTAGAAACAGATAGCATGGTTATGTGACACTTAGAACAGGCAAAACTAATTGATGGTGACAGAAATCAGACTAAATGGTTTCCACTGGAGATGAAAGAAAGAGAATAAAGGAACCCTCACTGGTTCTATTTCTGGATCTGGGTGGTGATTACATGGGCAATATATATAAAAATTCATTAAACTGCACACTTAAAATGAATGCACTTCACATACTCTATGTATATTATACCTTAATCAAAAAGAAAGTTAGACAGATGTGGTGACACACGTCTGTAATCCCAGTGGCTCAGGAGGCTGAGGTGGGAGCATCGTGAGTTCAAAGCCAGCCAGAAACAGGGAGGCACTAAGCAATTCAGTGAGACCCTGTCTCTAAATAAAATACAAAATAAGGCTGGGGATRCGGCTCAGTGGTTGAATGCCCCTGAGTTCAACCCCTGGTACCAAAAAAAAAAAAAGGAAAGAAAGAAAGTTAATCCAGCTTTAGTTGTAGTAATGGGAACCCCTGGAAGTTAATAACACAACCTTATATTAATTTGCTGCCTTTCTTGGTTGCAAACCTTTTGTGCATGAACTCAAACATTGTGGGTGAACATTTCACTTTTACAAATCACTCTAGTGTGGACTCTTCCCTCCTTACCGCTCCACTAGCAGTTGATTGATTGTTAGATAGGCCCACAATTTCTTGGTGAAATCAGGATCTGCATGCTTGTCTTTTGATAGGAAATCCTCCAGGTCATCCATCTGGGCCAGGGTTTCCAAGACCAACTCTGTGTTAGCCTAGAGGACAGAGGGTTCAWTTGAAGGGAGCAGAATTAGAGTTAATTAAATCACCTTGAGTGAATCAGGGCACTAGGCATTTGGAGGGTATACAAAAGAAATGGAAGATGCCTCTGTTGGGGAGTAAGTGCACCCTTCCAGGGGCTGGGCGTGGACTTGGATGAAAACATGAAGATTGACTGAATAGTCGGGAAGGTGGCAGAGCTTTTCTCATGCCCTCTCTTTAGTTACTACTGCTGTTCTACACACAGGATTCTGGGAATGCAGACTATTAGCTTGTTCACACACAGGATTGATTGTCTCCAGGGGACCAGTTAGTATCTTCGAATAAGCAGAAAAGAAGATGTACCGAAGTCGCGGTGATAATGCTCTGTACTTGCTCCAACTTATCAGGGTCAAATTTTCCTGCCACAACAATCTCTGAACCTCCAAAATAGTTGTGGAAACTGTTCTGAGTGACGTCTGTTACTGACGGGTGAGGATAGTTGAACTGGACATTCCGGAGCAATGGAGTTGAGACCTGATTGTAGAATTTCTACAGTTTGTAAAAAGAGAAAGAAGAAGGAGAAAAAAAAAGACCAGATAAATAATTATTTAAAGCATTTTTCTCTGAGCTTTTTCTCATGCTTAGTAGATACTTCTTAAGTTATCTCATGTATCTCTGGGACAAGTAAACATACTCATGATTTTTTTTTCTTTTTTTTTTGGTACCCCAGGATTCAATTCAGAGGCACTTCGACCACTGAGCCACATCCTCCGCCCTATTATGTATTTTATTTAGAGACAGGGTCTCACTGAGTTGCTTAAAGCCTTGGTTTTGCTGAGGCTGGCTTTGAACTCTTGATCCTCCTGCCTCAACCTCCCTAGCCTCAGGGATTACAGGTGTGTGCCACCTCGCTTGGCAGGATTATTTGGTGAAAAAAAAGAAAACTGAGATGTGGAGACAATAAGATTTGTTAGAAGCACTATCAATATTTAAGAACCCAGATTTCTCCCATTTTTCTGGTATGATCAGCATTAAAAAAAAAACCTCATGTATTCTCATAATAACAAATGTCAGCTGAGTCAATACTCCCAAATTAGAACCCTAAACCTTTCCTATTTTCAGTGCCTGGCACTGACATATTTTCTTGGCCATTTAGTAAAATAAACAAGTAATTTTTATCTTTTGTATTTAAGGAAACTTTGAGGCCTCAGTTGGACCTGTTTTACATATTAAAGAACTGACATTCGAGGTGTCAAAGCACTTCAAAGGAAAAACAGTGGCCCCCATGATAGGAAGGGCCATTGCTCAATGGGCCTCAAGGGCCAGCAAAAGCTCTTGGCCTCAGGAGATCTTTCCCATTCAGGGGATAGGGAAGTGTGTGTTCCTATCTCACCATTAAGTACATGGGTGGAAGGGACTGTAAGGAGGAAATTGAACGAAGTGTTCAGTTCCTGAAGGGGTCCTTCTCTGATTCTTGCAACCAAATAATGACAATTTTAAATTAAGTGCAACTATCTTTGTTTAGGCATCAGATATGGGTAGTTGGATGATTTCCAGGGGATGGGGGACAGAAAACAGTGTTACCTTGAGCTGGGAGGATGTGTCCTGGTTTCCATAAATCCTTTGAGCAATCCCACGATTTTCATTGGATAGTCTTTTCAAAAAATCATAGTCAACATCAAATCCTATCCCCAAACTGAACAAGGAGACATTGTCTTGAATGTTCTGCTTCACGTTTTTCTGGATTTTTGACAGTTTTATCTCACCTGAAGTTGGTGATGACAAGAAAGAAAAGAAGAAGGAATCAATGTTTAAAAGTTTTTGGAAAATCCAGGCAAGGTAATTTAGTGAGATTTATCAAAATTAAAAAATGCACTTAATCTTTGAATTAGTAATTCAAACTTGTAGAAAATTTTCTTACAGATGCACCCATATGTGTCAAAATGAAGTATGGGTAATAGTACATGGCATTATTGAGGAATGACAAACATATTGGAAAAAAATTAAATGTACACCAATAAGGGTGAGTGGTTAAATTATGGTACATTTAAACAGTGAAAAATCATGCAGCTATTAAACAGACAACTTTTTTAAATAGGGAAAAAAATTAAGGTAAATAAGGCAGTATGTAGGATGCACTTGTATACCTACACGAACATATAATCTATGTTTCCAAATATGTACTTATAGTAATATGATTTGCATGAAATATCTCTGGGAACTGGTAGCCAGTGACTGACTAGATGGTTAAGGGATAGGAGTAAGAAATAGACTTTTTTTTTTAATTGCATTTCCTCTCCTCTCTTATGAGTTTATCCAAAACTTGAATTTTAAAATTTGAGGTGAGGGGAAACATTGAATCTACAACAAAGACATAACAACTAATCACGTTTAGTCTCACTACTGGTGCTTGTTCACATGGCAACACACCTAAGCAACACAATCTGGCATTCACTATTCTTTAAGTTTGTCAGTGTAGATACACAGGTTAAAAAAAAAATGAAATAAAAATAGGCCATAGAAGTTGGGAGATGTTGGAGCCATCTTGTGGATAAGAAAAATGATTAATTTAAATATTGTAACAGAGCCGTCTTCTCTCCAGTTGCAACTGGGAGGAGTGTGGAAAATAGAGAATATGTTACTGTGGCCTTTGGAGGTACTATTTCAAGAGCCGGGGTCAGTATTCACCAGTTACAACTCACACACCATCTTTCATTGTCTAAAAATGGAGGAAATAAATGCATTTCACTAGAATGCATCAGCAAATCTTCACAATATACTATTAGAATTCAAACTCAACTCTCTCCCTAGCATGAAAGGGAAACTGAGGCATTCAAGAGCACCACTAAACATATCTGAGGACTGGCTGATGGGATGAGTGCTTCAGGGTGGGTGCCTTTAGGAAGCAAGGATTAGAAGTGTTTTAGAAACTCAGGCCCATGTAATTAGACTTCTCATGCAGGGCAAATCACATTCTCAAGCAACAGCAGTGAAAATGTTTGTCATGAGAAAATTGAAGCGATACTTGCCTACTGTTGGGTCTCCATCAGAAACCAGAATGATCAGAGAGACCGAGTTGGGATCCAACAATCCCAAATTATTGGCTTCATTCAAAATAAAGATCGCCCGCAGGAGTGCTTCATTGATGTTTGTGCCTGGTAAAGTAATGGGATTATGCCGTTGTAAGCACTTTCTTTTCACACACACTAAAATCACATCTTGGATTCAGGTTCATCTGTCTAGTGATTTCTTATGCATCATGTATTTTATATTAAATAATTATTTTTAAAATTATTAATAACCATTAACTAACCAACAATTCTTTAATAATAATTAATAATATTAATATAATATTTGAATAATTATTTGCTAATTATTCAAAATTAAATAATAACTTGATTGCTTTCCAAGCGACACAAATTTAGCTCTGCCTGGTCAAGGTCCCATAGTGCAGTAAATTATTTACTTTAAAATAAACTGTTCCCTGAAGGGAGATCAGTAAGAGTAGAGAAAAGAGAAGAGGGGGAGGGAGGGGAAGAGAGAAAGGGGAAGTATTGGGCAATGATATTGGCCAAATTATATTGTTATATTTTTGTGTGTGCACATACAAATACATAACAACAAATCCCACCATTATGTACAACTATAATGTGCCAATAAAAATATAGAAAAAAAAACTTAAACTATCCCCCTAGAGATAAATAAGCCCTTCAAAGCACCAGTCTATTATTTTTGTAAAACACCCAATTTAAGGCTTGTGAATCAGCTGCRCTGGAGACTTACATTTTACCATATGCAAACGAAAGCTAGCATCACTTATTGAATCTTTTTTTTTTTTGTGAAAGGTTGGAATTTTAAAAAACTCATCAGGCTGGATTATGTCTTATACCTTAGTCACAAATAGTATTTATCATTTACCAATAAATAAATTTAATTTAGGGCAGACCATTGAAAATTGGGTAAAGACCACTGCAGTGGAGGATAATGATTCTTAAGTAAAGCAAATGAATCCAGAATATTTTTCCTATGTAGCTATATGAATTCACCATAGTGAATCCCACCATAATGTACATCCATAAGAATGAGGTCCTAGTTAGAATAAGATATATTTCATGCTTGTACAATTATATCAAAGTAAATTCTACTGTCATGTATAATTAAAAAGAACAACAACAAAGGGAGGTTTCACACAGGGCTTTAGGTCAAACCCACTCACCTCCATTGGGCTGGATTTTCTCAATGTATTTCTTGGCATCTGCAACCTGTGCTTTAGTAGCTGAAACTAAATCATTTCTCCAGGTTCGAACATTGTGATTGAAATCGACCACAGAGAATTGGTCTTCAGCTCTTAGGTCATCCAGTATGGTCTTCATTGCTTCCACAGTCTATTCCAGAAAAGAATAAAGGGGGGGGAGTTTACTAAATAAATCCTAATCTTAAGAAACTAGGAGACCAATCATCGTCAACCTTCAAGTCCTCACTCAATCTCAACTTCTCCAAGAAAACCTCTTTAACCCACCTCAGTCAACACAGGCCTAGTCCTTGTGTATTTATAACATGCATTCAATTTTAAGTATTAAAGTTTGTGAATACTTGCATCTTTACTGTCTTATTTGTTATGCACAACAAGTTTGACTAGTCCTAGTTTAAGTTAAGGATCACAAAATCACATATATTTCTCATGTCCATCTATTCCCTTTTAAACATCTATTTCTCATCTTCTTTCTCTTTGAATCAACCACATCTGCCTCTTCCTCTGTCTTAGCCTGATTCTTGCTTCACTGATAACTGAAGCAATCAGAAGAAAATTTCTATAGACTCCTACGCGTATTAAACCCAACCAGCAATATTTGTACCTTCATACTTCTCCCTCCTGCCTCGGAGCCGGGAGCAACCCTCAGTATTTCTACCAACTGCAAATTCCCCTACTGCAAACTAGATTTCTTTCTGTCTCATCTGCTGAAGACCACAGCTCCAGCAATTGCCCTTTGCCTCTTGAATCTCTCTCCTCTATCGATACACTTCCAGAAACATAAAAACATGTATTTCTCACCCCTTTAAAAACCTCATCAGCACCTGCTTTCTCCATTCATCATCTCCCCTTTCAACAAAAGGAATGTGTAACCACTCTATTCCCCGATCTTCTCTTCCCATTTTCCCGAGCACACTCCATCCAGATGTTCATCTTCATTACTCCACCAAAGCTCCCCTTGTCAAGGTCACCAATGACCTTGATGTTGCTAAATCCAATGGACCATCCTCATTTCTCATCAGACTCATTCTATCATTGGTATTTGATCCAACCACTCACTCCCTCCTTAGAACAATTTCCTCATTTGTTTTCCTCATTGGGTTTTTCTCCCCCTCTATTTACTGATTTTTTTTTAATTAGTCTCCATCACTGACTTTTCCTCTTCCTCCCCAATTCTTTGATACTGGAATGCTCTGCTGTTCAACTATATGCAGAAGAACTGAAAGATGATGCAGAAAAGTGACCAGAGTGAGAAGAGGCCCTGAAGAGGGAAACTTTTCAAAGAGCTGAGTTTCAAGATAATTTTTCAAGGAAATACTGGACAATTAAAAAAAAAGAAAGGGAAGAGGAAGCAGAAAACAGGGAGATGGAAGAGAAATTCACGAGGAATGAATGACTGGAGCATGTCCAGGGAACAGATGATAATCTCAAACCCTTGGGAAGAGCTCACACTCTCAGTAACAAGAGTTTCTGAGTTTTAGCCCAAAGGAAGGAGTGGAGGGGCCAATGAACTATTGCATTCAGAGGGGATCATAGAAGATAGGCAGTTCTGCCTGCCACTGTGAACAAGGGGGCACTTACTTGTTTCATCTTAATCCCCCACATTGAGCCGCTAACGTCAATAACAAAAAGGATGTTTTTGGGAATTGGGTCCAGGTTCTCAGGAGCAAAGAAGTGGACAAAATATCCATTAAACACCTGCAAAATAGAACATAAATGTGAGTCAKATCATGACCAATATCGAGAAGGTAGGCACTGGGGGGTCTGAGTTCTAGAGAAGAAAGGTGGGCGACAGGAGAAGGCGGCATGGCACTCATGAAGACCAGAGCAGAGGTGACTCAGGTCACATCCATCTCCTGCTCCTGCTGCTGTTCTTCTCCCATGAGGGTCCAAACCTTCTTGGCAGAGTTCCACTGTACAGCACTTCACTCTCAGGCCTCTGTTCCAGAGCCCTGTTAACCAACGGTGAGTCAGATGGAGCACCTGCCCTCGGGGGTTCACAGACACCAGAGGGTGCAGACAGGTGAAGAGGATTTGCAGTGCAGGGTGTAAGGTGCCACGACTAGGAAATTAAAGGGCTCTGAGACTCAGATGGGGGAGCCTTTTCCAAAGAGCTGGCATGTGCCCTGAGAGCTGGGATGAGGCTGGAATTAATCCTGCATTGTGGGAGTTGGGCTGGGTTGGGGTGGAAAGTGGGGAGAAGAATTCCAGACAGTGATGGACAGAGCATGACGCACTTGGGGCTCCATTAGTGGTCCAGCAAGACAGGGCCATAGATGCAAGAATCCAAGAAATTAGGTGGAGAGTCAGCAGAACAGGTCAYGGAGCACCTTCATGTGCCACTTCAGAGAATTTGGATATTTCTTGAAGTTAGTGGGAGGCAACGAGATTCTTGCCAACCTTCTTTGTCTTCTGATGACTGTCTTGCCCAGTTCTCTATCCCCTGACATCTGGTTGCATAGTTCTTAGCTGCAGGGTGTTTAGCTGTGGTTGCCAATATACTTCTCTACCCTCCAACTAGAGAGAGACTCACGACCTTTTTTATATTCCCTAGGAGTTCTTACCTTAGCACAAGCAATATAGAGACACACATCTAAGATGTGTCAAAAGAGGAAGGGAAATTTTTCAAGGAATCTTGAGATAAATATGGTCCCTAGAATTCACCATTAGCTCTGGATCTTTCTCTGGGCTTTGGTTATGCTTTCCTCCTCATCCTATAATCTTTGATCATCTAATTGCAAGTCTTGGGAGGTATCCAAAATACCCACTTTGTAATCTTCTATTATTTTTTATAGGAGGCTTGAACATAGTCTTCCTGGACTAGGGCATGACACCTGCTATGATTTGAATATGTGAAGTGTCCCCAAACAGCCATGTGTTAAAGGCTTGTCCCTTAAGGTGGCTCTACTGGGAGGTTCTGTGGACCTTTACGAGGTGGGGGTCATATGGGAGGTCCTTAGGTCACGGAAAGGGTACTCTCCAGGAGGACTGTGAGAACCTGGTCCCTTCCTCTCCCACTCTTTTGTTTTCTGGCCATGAGGTGAACAGTTTGCTCCACTGTGTACACTGCTGTTTGCGTACACACCGCCACCAGAGGTCTAAAAGCAATGAGTCTACTTGATCATGGACTAGACCCTCCAAAATCATGAGCCAAAACAACGCTTTGCTCTTTAAAAGTTAATTATCTCAGGTATTTTGTTATAGTAGTAGAAAGCAGGCTAATAAAGGCCCAGTGAACCTTTAGTCTAATGACATAAAAACAAAATAAGACAAATAATAAATAACTAAATGATTAAGGAAACAAATAAAAACTAAGTAAAAGATAATGCTTATGGCATTTTGGAGAAATAAGATTTTAGTCCCTTCTCGGCAGCCTCGACACTCGCCTTCATAGCTAGAAAATACCCACAGGCCGAGGAGCTCCTTGACTGGAGATTGGCAGTCCCATGGAGTCTGTCTGCACTCACCTCAAGCTCGCCAGCCTTCTCTTCTCGGTTCACATCATACATCACCACCAGCTCTCCATCCACGGCAGTYTCAGAACAGTTGGAGCATTTTCTTTGCTGTGCTACTGTGGGCTTGAAGGAAACATGTGCCTGGAAGGAACAGTGACATCAGAACCGGGTTTCTTCTCCAGCCCCTTCAAGGGGAGGGCTTGACAGCTGCACCTGCTTGTGCACACAGATGAGGGGTGTTGCCCAGTGGCCACAGTGCACCCAGCATCGGCAGGCCTGCGACAGGTGGAAGGGACAGAGCCAGGGCTTTGGCGGGGAGTGTCTGCCGACTAGAGTTCTGTTTGCCAGGTTTCTGGCCTTTTATTTTATTTTATTTTATTTTTTATTTTTTTTATTGTTGGTCGTTCAAAACATTACATAGTTCTTAATACATCATATTTCACAGTTTGATTCAAGTGGGTTATGAACTCCCA